AAGATATTTTGAATTATATGATGTCTCCAGTTTGCTGCAAGACAGTTGCTGATTTTAAAAGAAATAAAATAAGCCAGGAGTTGACCACTACCTTATAAAGGATGTTAGGTCCTGGGGATTTGTTATTTTTCATACATTGGAAATCTTCCATGACATTAAGATTTTGACACACACACACAAAAAAAAGATTCTGACATACACATTTTTACGAAATATGTCACTTGACACGTATTTCAAAGAATGAGAAGGGATGGAATACTCGCCGTTTATTAGACACTCCTGGGTCCTCCTAAAACAGATGTGAATCATCTGGCTCAGAGTTAGAGCCAGAAGAGTCTTCCAGTGTTTCCCCAAAACTGTTTACGTACATCTTATTTGTTATGCTAAATAGAACTGACAGAGATATCCTGTTATTTATCATTTGAGCTGACAGATATGATTTTATTTATCTTTTGCTCATGTATTGTATGTAAAATGTATTTCATAGAAAATAAAAAAAAAACACTATTAAGCTTCATCTTTTCATGAAAGCATCTTTTCATGAAAATAAGCTTCATCTTTTGTGACCCACAAGCGCTTTCACAGCCTGGGGGGTGATGTAAGTGGAGCCACAAGGCAGCGGGGGCGGGGAGGGGGGCGCCCAGCCCCCCCCCCCCCGTGGTGGTTGCCTGGCAAGCTGTGTGCCCTAGGAATGAGGACCCAGTGCTACCAGGGTTGTTTGTCCTGAGAATAACTCTAAATCTAGATTGCATGTGACATCTTCTAACTTGGAGTTGCTTAAAATACTTTTAGGCTGCCTTTTATTCCAAACCGAGCCCTTAAGCAGCGGGGTGAGCCCCGTGAGTCAGCCTCTGATTCGGTGACTCCCAGTGACCCGGCCCTAAATAAGACCCCGGGGCCCACTCGGGTTTTAAAGTCCCACGGCCCTGCTCTCCATGAGCTTCCAGAAACAGACTGGAAAAGCTAAATGAAATGTAAAGAGAGGAAACGCTGTGGAAATTCAGAGGGGGTAAGAAGACCCAGCTGGGACAACATGGGGGAGCCCCCCACAGGCCGTGCGTGGAGTTGGGGGAGCACTGCTGTCGCCAGGGGGGGAAGGGAGAGAAGCGAGGACATAAGCACAGGGAAGACCAGGGCCTCCCTTTAGGAGGAAAGTCGGCAGATTTCACAAACCGCTGGCCTCTTCCATAAGCCGCCCTCGGGGGATTTTTCAGGCCGATTTAGTGTTCTGAACAGTCGGGGGAACATAGACAGCAAACGGGGAAGTACGACACCGAAGTTCAGCAGAGGGTTTGAGACCGTGAGCCACGGATCCGAGCACGACCTGTGTGGACGTGATGGTGGACGTGATGGCACCTGTGGGTGGTGTTTCTCTAACGTCCAGAGCCGGGAAGGGAGGTGTTGCTACGCGTAAGGCTGCACTCCCCATCTGGCCCTGGTAAAACCCCCAGCTCGTTCTTTTTTTTCACCCCACTGAATCTCATTTGAAGCTCAGAGCAGTACACACTTTCCAGACATCCTCACACGGGGAAGGAGTGGTTTTGGAGTACGAGACACCAGAAGTATGTGGGGAAAGAGAATCCCACATTTGGAAGGTAGGCCTGTGGTGATGGCTTTATTTATAGGTTTACAGTCTCCCTCCAGTGATGGCCTAACCCAGACTCTTCTTGGTTTGTGTGTGTGTGTGTGTGTGTGTGTGTGTTTACTGTTATGAAAAGATTATTCAAGAAATGGAACCATTTAAACAGATTTACGATCTTCCGTACAGGCGGTGCAATGCATTTGGGCAATAGCTTTATTCCTTCTCTCTTATGTGAAAGTTTCAAGTGTAATTTCTCCTAAAAAATAAACAGGAGGTTACTATGTTCTTCCCCTAATGAGAATCTGCTTGTTGTCGAGAGTAAGCATTTTCGAGCCTGATTAACTCCAGCAGTTATTTCATGTAAAAGACTGTCTACTTGGACATGAATATGTATCAGTTAGGAATTTTGTAAGCCAGAGTAATTTATGGATCAGCACCCGCTCTCCTGGCTCCTGAACTCTGGAGAGGAGTGAAAGCTCAGCCGCAGACGTGTACATAAGCCAGGTGAGCTTGAACGAGGGAGCGTTTCACCTCGGAACCTGAGGCCAAGAAGAAGTTATGCCCAGAACATCAATCAAAAATAGCTCCGGTTCCAAGCCCTGCACAGCTCCGACACCGTCCCAACATGCTGTTATGAAACTGCGCATAGGCACCTCTCAGAAATGTCCCAAATGCACGAAACCAAGAAAAACACCCATGGCAGCCCTCCGCCTGCTTCATAATGAAACTGTTCTTTTAGCAAAAAAAGCCATAACCAAGCAAAACCCTGCTAAATAAGATGGTTATTTATTTGGGAGGGCTGTCTCTGCTGACTCCGAAACATCGGCGCGGAGAGATTTTTCTCTTACTGATCTTTTCTACCTGTTTTACAGTCGTCTACGTGAATCTGTATAGCATTGGGTTGAATCATCTTTAAGCTATCAGAGACAGAACCCATTTGATGTCCTGTGTGAATGTGCAGGTTCAAATATTTCTTCAAACCGTTAGTAATCCAGGAGGATCTCTTTGGGAGGCTTGGGGAGTAGAGATTAGGTGTCCTGGAGGTGGTGTCAGAACAGGCTCTCACGCGGGAGTCAACGATTCAGGCTGATGAAGTTGGTGCAAGTGACCAGATTCAACCGTTGGTAGAAAAGATCATCCAGCTGGTTTTATACTTGTAATATGCTTGGTGGTATATTAAGTCTCAAAGAGATTTATTTCTAGAGAGAAGGGACGGAGGGAGGACGGGCGGACACAGTGTCTTAATTTTTAGATGAAATGAGTAAGGCCTCCGTAGTCAGCTTTTGGAAGCTCTCCAGCGTCCAACAGGCTGAACGAAACTCAGGGGATTGCCATGGTATGACAGCCAGTCCAGGGTGCCAAAGCCGAAACAGGCCACGCTGGCCATAGGAAAGCCCCAAGAAGGAGCGTATGTAGGTCACTTACACGTTTTGAATTTAGACAGGCCGTCGTAACACAATTATTTTATAGTTAAGCCTTGGAGAAGCTCTGTGTGTTCTAAATTCTTAAAAATGCAATTGTTTCACAATATAGGAGACGATTGCAACATCCCCTTGTATGATGGGCATTAGTGCTCACCTTGTGGCCTGAGGGGCGGGGAGCAAGGGTGCTGGTGGGGCACTTTGATGACCGTCCTCTCCCCAGCCCAGAGAATCTCACTCCCTTTGGAAAGTGTCTGGAGCTCACCACAAGGCTCAGAACCAAACACAATCACTTTTTTTTTAAGATTTTATTTATTTATTCATGAGAGACACACAGAGAGAGAGAGAGAGAGAGAGAGAGAAAGAGAGAGGCAGAGACACAGGCAGAGGGAGAAGCAGGCCCCACGCAGGGAGCCCTACGTGGGGCCCGGGACCCCAGGATCATGCCCCAAGCCAAAGGCAGACGCTCAACCGCTGAGCCACCCTGGCATCCCCACAATCACTTTTTTAAAGTCACACTCAACAAACATTATTTTGATGCAGGAAAAAAAATAATCGGCAAAAACAGACAGTGTATTAGGCATCAGGTCTAATCCCACCTGTATTTACTAAACATCTATCATGACCCAGAGCGGGAAGCGGAGCGGGATGCATCAAAGGGGAAGCAAGGGAAACCCCAAACACCCGATTTTGCCTAATTTCTCTAGAGCGCATAGGCCTCCTTTCCCTGCACTCCAGCTCCCCTGTTTCCTAAAAGGCTCCCCTCTTTCTCATTCTTTGCAGACATTCCCAATCTCCCACATGTTCAGGGCACATGACAGGAGGACAGATCGGCCCCTCTGGAAACTAGTGCTTAGCAGAGGTTTGCGTCCGCAGGGGAGGAGCCAAATTAGCCACATGCCCAGCTCGGCTTTTGTTTTCCCACCTGCCTCTTTCAAGTTCTTACTTAATGGAAATATTTGCTTTTCCGTAAGTGCACGTGACTTTCCCACCTCTTCCTTGTCACAGCCAAAGGAAGCTCAGTAAGGGGGAATCAGGAAAGAAAGCGGACTTCAGACAAATCACTGTAATCGAGAATATCCGTGCAAATGGTGCCATTCTCACAATGGACAGATTTGCCAATCGTTCTGCCCTATTGTAGATGTGGGGGTATCATTTATTTTAATCAACAGTCCCTTAATTAAGAAAGTAACATGCGTGTGTATGGTCAAAAAAATAATAATTGAGGACCTGTGGTTATAAGGTAATCCTAGCGACCTGACGGATTCGCCTTCTTTTTTTCTTTTTTTTTCTTTAAAGCCCTCCTGTTGTTTCTTGGGACCCCTAGAAGGAAACCCAGGAGCCATACATACGGGGGTCTCTGGGCCTCAGGGACCTGGGCCTTCCTCCTCTCGCGTCCTCTCCCAACTCCCATCTCGGGGACCATGCACCGTGTGGGGGGCGGGGTGCGGGGAGCAGGGCTTCGCTCTCATTCGGGACGCGTCGCACGTGTTCTCCAGGCAGAGGTGTCTTCCCTGACCTGACCCCCCCCCCACGATGTCCCTGCCTCAGCCCCGCTCACAGGCACAGGGCCCTGACCCCTCTCTGAGGTTACTGTATTGCCTGCTGGCTTATTTGGGGGAATGTAAGGTCCAGGGGGGCAGGGGGCTTGTGCAGCCATCTCTAGTGCTATGCCCAGCACGTCCACGAGGGCCCAGCACCCACCAGCACTCGGGCAATAATCGCTTCAGTTAAGTGAAGGGCAGTTGAAAGATTGAATGGTGCCTGGCACATAGTTGGGAGCCTACCAGTCGGAGGCCCCCGTCCTCTCCCTCCACCCAGCCCCCTGACAAAAAATGGCGAAAATGGATTTAATCCACACCGTTCCATCTTAAATAAATTAACGAGGCGCTCAATTATACGGGGTGCAATAACTCATACCTAGTTGACTATAATGTAGTTCCCTCCAAAAGTGTTCATCTAAGAATCCACATGTATATATTTTTTTAATTTTCCAGGTTGTCCTTGCCGAAAGGAACCATGAATTGGCATTTCTCCTTCTTCCTCGTGGCCACAGTGACCTTGCCCTCCGTGTGCTCCCAGTTCAACCCGCTGTCCCTGGAGGAGCTAGGCTCCAACACAGGAATCCAGGTTTTCAACCAGATTGTCCGATCCCGGCCTCATGACAACGTGGTTGTGTCCCCCCATGGGATCGCGTCCGTCCTGGGGATGCTCCAGCTGGGAGCCGACGGCAGGACCAAGAAGCAGCTCACCACGGTGATGAGATACGGCGTGAACGGTGTGTGTCCTCTGAGCTCCGGCTGGTGGGGCGGCGAGGGGGCCTGCACCTGGTGGGGTTCGGGGGTACCACCCTGGCAGCTAGGGTCTCCTCCCCAGGACCCTGTGACGCTTCTGGAAGCTTGTGTCCCGTCGCCATGGGACTTCAGTCACTTGATCTCCCCACCCTCCCCTGGTTACTCATCTCTAAAGAGAAAGCTTCCCGCCTGCCCCACGTCCCTGGTGCGTCATGGTTGTGAATGTCCTTTGAGAGCCCGTGAGCCGGGTGAACTGGGCAGGTGGCTGGGTGTGGCCAGGGAGGGCAGCGTGGGGAGCCTTGTTGGGATGGCACCGTCCCGTGTCCTGACTGTGCTGGTGACCTCATGAATCTATGTGGGTGAGAAAAATCAGAGGGCTCTGAGGGGCTCAGCGGTGGAGCATCGGCCTTCAGCTCAGGGTGTGACCCTGGGGTCCAGGGATCGAGTCCCGCATCGGGCTCCCCGCAGGGAGCCTGCTTCTCCCTCTGCCTGGGTCTCTGCCTCTCTCTGTGTGTTTCAGAAATAAATAAATAAGATCTTAAAAAATAAAAAAGAAAAGAAAACTCACACACACACACACACACACACACACACACACACACACACACACACACCTGTAAACCCGGGCAGTGTGCATGAGCTCTGCGACCTGACCCAAGGGCAATCTCCAGGCTGTGACACTGAGCTGCAGTCCTACAAGGTATTACCACTGGGGGGAAACCGAGTGAAAGGCACATGGAACCACCCTGGATATTGTTTTGCAACTTCTTGTGAATCTATCACTATATCAGAATAAAAAGCTAAAAAAGTATTTTTTTTTTTTTGAAGTAAGGCCCAATGGAAAAGATTTGAATCCTTTCAAATTATCTGTGGGAACTTTTTTTTTGTAAACTTTAAAAAAAAAAAAGATGTTAGTTATTGCTTTGAGAGAGAGAGGGAGAGACAGCAGGAGCAGGAGGAGAGGGAGCAGCAGACTCCCCACTGACTGGGGATCCAGACCCGGGGCTCGACCCGAGGACCCCGGGATCATGACCTGAGCCCAAGGCAGCCGCTTCAGCGCCCGAGCGCGTGCAGGCGCCCCATCGGCACGGCCCACAGGGTGTCTGTCTGCAGCCACAGGTGCCTCGGGCTGCGGTCGGACCCCCCCCGCCCCCAGGCCCAGCCGACCTCGTGTACAGGCACCGTGTGAGGGAGCAGAGCGGCCCTCACTGTCCTCGGGGCCACCGCCGCGCCTGCGCTGGGAGCAAGTCACTGTGTCCAATGTTGGCCGCCGTGGTGGCGAACCAGGGAGGCGCCCTCCCCATGCCCTCGTGCACCTGTTGGCCTCACAAAGTCCTGGGTGTCCTGACTGTAGGATGCCCTTGGCTGCAAGGGAGCGGCCAGGCAGGGGTCCGGGTCGCCCGGGCCTGGTGCTGTGCCCTTGCCGGGTGCATCGAGTGTGGCCCCTGGGCTGCCCCCCGACCCCGGGACCCAGAGCACCCTGCCGGTAACTCGGCCTACAGGTTTGCACGTCCGCAGTCGGCCCCTGTGCAGCCCTGGGAGCGCGCCACCCTGTCCGGGCACCAACACCCGCAAACACCTCGGGAAGCTGCGGCTTCCGGACGAATCGCTGCCGGAGCCTCCCGCCTGTCCTGGGGCGCTGACCCTCCCCCTGCCACCCTGCCGGTGGGTGTGGCCTGAGTGGCCACTGCTGTGGCCCTAGTCCTGAGCCACACTCTCTTTAAGCTGCCCTCCTGTGGGGCTGACCCTGATGCTCCTGCTAGCTCCCCCACCTTCTTTCTCTTGCAGCACCAGCAGGGATGTTCTAGAAGGGGCTGCAGTTGGGACAGACCCCTGCAGAGCTGCCTGCAGGCTCCTACAGGCCCTAGCTCCGCCTAGGCCTCAGAGCTCTGGTTAGGGACGCACTCACGAGGACAGAGGCCAAGTACTCAGGTCAGGGACATGCTCACAAGGATGGAGGCAGAGCGCTCAGGGTAGAGACGTGCTCACAAGGACAGAGACCAAGTGCTCAGGTCAGGGATGTGCTCACGAGGACAGAGGCCAAGTGCTCAGGTCAGGGATGTGCTCACGAGGACAGAGGCCAAGTGCTCAGGTCAGGAACGTGCTCACAAGGATGGAGGCAGAGCGCTCAGGGTAGAGATGTGCTCACAAGAACAGAGACCGAGCGCTCAGGTCAGGGACATGCTCACGAGGACAGAGGCCAAGTGCTCAGGTCAGGAACGTGCTCACAAGGATGGAGGCAGAGCGCTTAGGGTAGAGATGTGCTCACAAGGACAGAGGCCGAGTGCTCAGGTTAGGGACGTGCTCACAAGGACAGAGGCCGAGTGCTCAGGGTAGGGATGTGCTCACAAGGACAGAGGCCCGGCGGTGCTGGACCAGTGAGGAGGGTCTGCACCCTCTTTCCTGGTGGGGGACCAGCCATGTGGTCGGAAGCCTCAGGTGCTGGCTTTTGTCCTCCACCCTGCACTTGCCCACCTGGGCCTGCTCCCGGAACAGCACCGCAGGTAGGGCGGTAAGAGGGCCCCTCCTCCAGCCCCGGCCCTCACCCTGGCCCTATTCAGTGGGTCTGCAGACAGTGGGGGACAGGTCAGCTCTCTGGAGACTGTCGCGGCGACACTGCAGGCTGTTAGGACAGTGTCCTTTTCAAAGGACCCCAAGAGTCTGTCGCTCAAGCTCCCTGTAGAAACACGTTTCGTTCTTGTAATTTATTTTCCTCTTTTCCATATTCTGAAAGCAAACAGAGCATGTATGAATGGCTCCCATAAAATAAAGCTTACGTTGCCATGAAATTAATCCCTGTGCTTTTCGAGCTTGATATTAGGTAAAAATCACACTGTCCCTGGATGGTGGCACGTAGCAATGTTTTATGGTCTTTTAAATGTCTATTTTATCCATTTTTTTTCCAAAATAGAAAAAAAAGAAATCACATTGTTAAATCTTTGGCAGGAAAAGAGCGCTAAAGATGGTTAAGAGAGAAAAAGAGAACAAATTAGGAAGATTCCTTGGATTGACTCCCCATGGCTACGTAAGGAAGAGCTGGCTAGTCTCCCTGGAGATCTCCCAGAGGATGAGGCCTATGTGCTGAGGTGCCACGAATATGCAGTTAGGGTGCCAGAAGCGCCACTGATTTTCAAGAACTATTAATAATTTGACTTGATTTGGGGGACGCCTGGGGGGCTCAGCGGTTGAGCATCTGCCTTGGGCTCAGGGTGTGATCCTGGAGACCCGGGATCGAGTCCTGCATCGGGCTCCTTGCAGGGAGCCTGCTTCTCTCTCTGCCTGTATCTCTTCCCCTCTCTGTGTCTCTAATAAATAAATAAATAAAATCTTAAAAAAAAAAAACCAATAATAATTTCACTTACTACTACCACCCCCACCTTTTTCTTGACACCAGGCCACTGAGGAAGCAGAAGACTTGGTCTCTCGCTACTCAGGCCTATCTTGTTTGTACTGTTATTGCCATGCTGAGGAAAAGATGATCCCAAAAAAAAAAAAAAAAAAAAGGGCTTTTCTGAATTGCTGCATTTTTCCATTTCTCCTGTAGGAGTCGGTAAAGTGTTAAAGAAGATCAACAAGGCCATCGGCTCCAAGAAGAATAAAGACCTTGTGACCGTGGCCAACGCGGTGTTCGTGAAGAATGGCTTTAAGATGGAAGTGCCTTTTGTTACCAGGAACAAAGACGTGTTCCAGTGTGAAGTCCAGAACGTGAGCTTCGAGGATCCGGCCTCTGCCTGCGACTCCATCAACGTGTGGGTCAGGAACGAAACCAGGGGTGAGTGGCCCTGTTCCCCGGAGCGGTCCGCGCGGACCCACTGGCCGCTCTGCCTTCCCCCTCGGCAGGATCCGTGACTCAGTCTCCCTTCTGTCCCCGTGGCACGGGCAGCGGAGCGGAACACAGCCCCCGCCCCCCACCCCCCGGCTCGTCTCTGCGGAGCCTGTCCCCGCAGCCCCTGCCCGTCCTGAAGGTGCAGCCGCCGGGCATCGGTGCCTGTCCCTCCCTGCCCGCGCCACGCGGGATTGAGCCCTCTCCTTGCTTTGCATCCGTCTTGCTGTCACCTCGGGGGGGCCTCCTCTGTGCCCACGACTGGCGTGCAATCCGGCCTTCCGCTGCCCCTTCCTTACGGCGCTTGCACGCAGTTCCCTCTCATCAGATGGAGGGACTGCCGAGCAGGGCAGTAACCCGGAGGGCTGGGCTGGAAATGTGCGGCAGTAGTGATGGGTCCAGAACATTAGAGGGACGTTAAGGCTGCAGCTAGAGACTGGGGGACCTTTTCTCATGGGAGGTAGAGTCAAGGCCACAGGAAGGGACCCAGAGACTCTCAACTGGGACCCAAGGATAGAATGCAAGGAAACTGGCTTTTCGGGTCATTCCTCAAAGCCCGGTTCCGGGGGCGCCTGCATCAGAATTACCCAGGGCATTTGTTTCCAGTGCCGGTCACCGGCCCCCGGCCCCCGACCTCCTGTATCAGAACCTGTGAGCGAGGGGCCTAGCATTCTGCATTAAAATGAGTGTGCCCCCAAGCTGCCTCCACCGTCAGACTTGCATGCGCAAGTGTCTGAGAGCACATGACAGACCAGGGAGGCGCCGGGCCAGGAGTGCTCCGGAGGGCGGAGAGCCAGAGTGGTTTTGGGGAATCCACGGCATTCCGGCTCCACGGAATCCTGGACGCTGCAGCCCAGGCTCCCTTCCCCAAACCACAGAAGGATCAGGAGACCTGCAGATGTGAGGGGCGGCGTGGCTCTTCCCGGGCCTAGAGGCCTAAGGACTGCAGGCCGCCGGACTCAGAGCTGGAGGGCTGCATGGCTATGGCGGTCAGTGCCCCCGCCAGCCCTCCTGACCCGCCGGCTGGGGATAGCAGGTCACACCGGTGCGCCACTTGACACTGTTCAAACCACGTGGACACGCATTGACTCAATTGCTCACCGGACCTGGGGAGGGGAGTGTGGCTAAGCCCGGGCAGTGCTTCTCAGCCCTGCAGACCCACTCCCTCCTTATAAACAAAGATTTTTACTATTCACTCTACCATTCTGGAATGAAACTCACAGCTCACGTAACCTTACGTGCAAGTACACAACATTTTCATTCTTTTTTTTTTATTTTTTAATGTTTAAAGGTTATTTATTTGAGATTGAGAGAGAGAGAGAGAGAGAGAGAGAGAGAGAGAGAGAGCATGAACTGGAGGAGGGGCAAAGACACAAGCAGACTCCCCGCCGAGTTGGGGACCCCAACCAAGAGCTCGATCCCAGGCCTTTAGATCATGACCTGACCTAAAGGCAGACGCTTAATCGACTGAGCCCCCCCAGGCGCCCCACAAATACACAGCATTTAAAAAAATTAACTAATGAAATGCTGAAGTGTAATACAAGGAAAAACAAAGCTAATTTATGTACGTAGTTCAGTGGGTAAACCCTCGGGTACAGCTGCGCCTGAGTACGTGACAAAATTGTGAATTGACAGCTACGACAACAGGCTGACACAGGCATGTCCTGCCAGTGACGTGAAAACCACAAGCTGCCTTCCTGTCCTTCTGAAGCAGTTTTCTCTAAAACAGTGCAAAATACTTGGTAAATCTAGGAACAAAGTTAAGAAGAGTCTCCACTCAGTTTGCATGGCAGTCGCATGCGTAGAAGATTCCGTGTACATTAAGAACACGCCCCCGAACACATAACTTGGTGTTTCCATGGGAAAGAAGGCTGAGGTTCTGGGCGCAGAGGATGATGAGCCAGCTTCTCGCTGGTGCGAATATCCAGTGGGGCGTTGGAAGCGTCTGCAGCCCGCAGGACGGGTCCTTAGTACATGGGACTGTTTGGAACGTGGTGAGACAAGTGGCATCTCTGGCCACCTGCCACTCAACTAAACCCTCTTACCTGTTTTCACATCACCCCCGGGGGTGAGAAGCCCTTCCCCACCTGGAAGGGCCCAAGAGGACCCTGGTGATCTAGCAGTCCGCATCCGGAAGATGGCCCTGCCCGTCCTGGGGAGATGACCATTCATTCCTTCCCAGCTGTGTAAGCGGGGCAAGTTCTTAACCTCCCTGTGCCCCAGAGTCCTCCTCTGTAAAAATGCAGATACGATGGGGATACCTACTAAGGTGGTTAGAACGACATTAAGGTTTGGGGGTCCCCTGGCGGCTCAGCTGTTGAGCGTCTGCCTTCGGCTCAGGTCGTGATCCCAGGGTCCTGGGATCGAGTCCCGCATCGGGCTCCCTGCATGGAGCCTGCTTCTCCTTCTGCCCGTGTGTCTGCCTCTCTCTGTGTCTCTCATGGATAAATAAATACAATCTTTAAAAAAAATTTAAGCTTTTTATGGGAAGGTAAATGATGTGCATAAAGCATTCAGCCAAGTGCCTAGCACTTACCGAATATTCAGCAGGCACGAGCTGTTTTTATACCTGTGAGTTCACAGTGATGCTTCAGAGAACCCCTCCCTGACCCATGAACCAGATCAGATCCCCCTCTCAATGGCCCTCACATCTTTGAGAACTTCTGCTTCGAGGTATTTTCACTATTACATACGGTTTCCTGAGTCCTCGTGCCGGTCTCCAGCTCTCTGGACTCCATGGCTTTCTGAGGGGAGGCTTCATTTTTTATTTGTTCATTTTCTCACCTAGAAGATGGTCATTGGCACATGATAGGTAGGTATCCAAGACGGATGGTGGGTAGTGGATGGGTGAGTGGATGCGTGGGCGAGTGGCTGGGTGGATGAGTGGGTGGCTGAATGGCTAGGTAGATGCATGTTTACTTGCATGCATGTTCTTGACGGCGGGTCCTCCACGTGCCTCCTTGCTTCTCAACCATACATTCCTTACCTTTTCATCATTTCTTGTTATTTCTTCATGCCCCCTAATTGTACCTTAGTCCTACCCGTGTCAGTCAGAGGCTTCAGTTAGCACAACAAAGAAAGTGCTGGAGAGATTTCTTTAGACACTTATTGAGCACCAACTGTGTGCTGAACATAGAGACAGGCTTGATTTTTAAAAAAGCAAACAGCAGGGTCTTGGCCCTTGTGCGGTTCGTGGTCCAGCTGAGGGGAGAGAGACACGTTAGATTTGGCTAGAACAAAATACCGCAGGCAAATGGTGGTGCTGAGTGTTGAGCTTCATGGAAAGTCCTGGGAGTTTGGGAGGAGGTCTTTTATAGGTAGAGAGCGGAGCTACGCCTTACAGGCGCATAGGGGTTGGACTGGGTGATGTTCCCAGCAAAGGCAGGGCACAGCCTTCAGTGTGGGGAGCCAACCCTAAGGAGTTTGCTACAGCGGGAGCACCGAGTTCTAACTTCCCTCCCGCAGGACAGAGGCTGCCCTTGCATGGAAGGGTGGCCTCTTATAGCTTGGGGTATTTTCCTTCAGATGCTGACCGTGGTGGCATCGATGCCCCCTTGTGCAAGTAAGGAGTGGTGCTGAAGCTTTTACAGAGGCCCCTTTTTCAGAGGGCCCCCACCTCTGGGTGCACCCCCTACCACGACTTACGCAAACATTTGTTTATCGGACATCCGAATCTTCTTGATCATCCTCTAAGAGGACTTTAGGGCTCTCCCAGCTGAATTGGATAATCTTGCTTCTTCCAGAAACTATTGAGTTTACTCTAACCATTTAAAGAATTACGATCTGCATTTGAATTATGACTCTACATGGTGTTTTGTTGTCTTTTTTTTTTCTTTTTCTTTCTTTCTTTTTTTTTTTTTTAATGCTGAGGCCAAAACCTACAGTAAACTAATTTTTAGTTTTAAACTAATTTTAAATTAATTAGTAAACTAATTTTAAATTGCTTTGGGTGTTAGTAATCCTTCATAAACACACACACACACACACACACACACACACACACACAGCTGAATCTTCAAAGACCGAGCAAAAGGAGCCTCACGGAAAACCCGAACCCTCAAGCACAGATAGCATTTGAGGAAGATCGCCGTGGCCCCAAAGAACGTTCTGAAACTAGAACAGTTGTTAGCTCCTTCCCTCCTGATGCAAACAAGATGGAGCGTCCTTGACATTTTGTGGAGCGAATTTTCCTTCAACATCAGGAGGACTTCAAGGACAGACTCCGTTTCTTTTTATCTCTATAATGTCACCACCTAGCTCAGCACCTGACCCATAAATGTAGACACTAATTTTGAATTCCAGCCCCCTCTTAGGTAGCTGTGGGGCCTTGTGGTCCCAGGGGTTCCAGACGAGTGCCCAACACCTCTGAAACCTTCAGAGGAAGTAAGTGTCTATCTATGATAAAATTGCACAGGCCGAAGGGCTTCATTTTTGACTGGGATTAAACCCACCCAGGGGTTGAAACGACAACTGCATATCTTGTTTTCTGATGGCAAATTCTCCTTGGCAGTTGCACGTGTCAGTTATTAGCAAAGATAGGAAAATCCATCATTAATTAAATGTAGCTTCTTTAGATGAGTAAAATTTTCTAAGACATGGGGTTCATAGGGAATTAGTCATAAAAGAATTGCTTTTTTAAAAAAAATTATTTGAGAGAGCAAGCACAAGCCTGTGGGGGGGGGCGGGATAGAGGCAGAGGGGGAAGCAGACCCCCCACTGAGCAGGGAGCCCCATGCGGGACTCGATCCCAGGACCCGGGATAATGACCTGAGCCGAAGGGGGACGCTCAACTGACTGCACCACCCGGGAGCCCCAGTTATAAAAGAATTCCTTGATGAAAATTGTGGTAACCCCCAAACAGAGGATCTCTAAGGTCTTTCCAGATTCTCTGATTTTAGCTTCAATTTTTTAGCTTTCATTTTTTAGTGAGGTAGGGGGAGGACCGAGAAAGTTCCAGAAGGGTGTTGTAAACAGTTCCTTTTTAAAGGCTTTTTAAAAAATTCTGTTAATTTGTGACTGTCCGTGCTCCATCACTGCCTTTTTTGCCCTCAAACAGACCGCCAATCCTGAGCTTTCCTTGCTTGTTCTGTGACTTCCCAGGCATGATCGACAACCTGCTGTCCCCAAATCTCATCGATGGTGCGCTCACAAGACTGGTCCTGGTCAATGCCGTGTATTTTAAGGGTTTGTGGAAATCACGTTTCCAACCTGAGAACACAAAGAAACGCACGTTTGTGGCAGACGACGGGAAATCCTATCAAGTGCCCATGCTAGCTCAGCTCTCTGTGTTCCGCTGCGGTAAGTGTTCGCTTGGCGATGCCCCAGATCACTTGGTCCAAGAGCAGATCTGACTTTTATATTTTAAAAAGGGCAGGGGAGAGGCGGGCAGGATTTTTTTTTTTTAAGTTCATGGTAAAGTTTCTTACCACTTACCAAGGTAATGTATTAATACATGACATACAGGCTTTTAGGTTGGAAATTTAAAGATAGGGGACAGTTCACAAAATACAAAATGTAAGCAGGCACTCGGCACATAGTGTATCATCAAGTCACCTTTGGCTACCTTACTTTACCAAATTAAAAAATACAAGTAAAAATTAGGTTTATTTTCCACTTGCCAGTCTCACAAATACTAGATTGGCAAAGCCCAGTCGTGGCTCTGGGAGTTGGGGGGCCACATGGGTGCCCCGATCACCGCAGGTAGAAGTTGCTGCGGGACGGGGGGCTTCCTGGAGCCTCTACGGCAATCCCACACCAGGGAACTTAAACCCTGAAGATCATCTTACCCCAGCAAGTAAGCAAAAGCCAGAAACTTACGTATAGTGGAACATATGTGGTAAAGAGACTTAGATTCAAGTCAGTAGGAAGATGACACAATATACGGTTGATTCCAGAAAACAAGTTGTAGGACAGCAGGTGCCGATTCATCTCGTTCACGTAAAACACGTGCTACATACTCCTCTGTCTGTAGAGACGTGTCCTGGAGGATGTTCAGTGAAACGTGAATGTGGTATCTCAAATGATTATTTTTCTCTAATTTGAATCTGCAAATTTTTAAAACAAGCACGAGTCAGTTTTACAATCGAGGAAACAATGACCGACCCCTGCTGTCATCGCCACAGCACTGACGAACGGAGTCTGACGATTATTTTTCGAGCCTAGTTTCATTGAAGCACTTGCTGTCCAACTTAAGTTGATCTTTTCCCTCTGAAAGTTAGCGGTTGTGTCTCCAGTCTGTGCCCGAACACGTGGGACCCGAGTATCACCTCTGCACGGTCAGTCTGTGCTTCCAGCCCTGCGCCGTGTTTTGCCGGCCGCGTAATTCTCTAAGTTAAGGGATGGCTCGGGTGAGGGGTGCCCCAAACAAAGCCACTGTCCTTGCTTACCATTCACCAGGCTGCTAGGTAAAATTTTGTCATTCACTCAAATGTTTTGTTTTGAAGAGAATACATATTTGAAAGCCCTGCGGAAAGACAGTGTGCTCAGCAACTGAGAATAATAAAAGGCTCTTTTTGCCCAAAAGTCATTCCCTCTTTCCAGAGGTGGGCCGAGCCTCCGCTCCCAGGTGGCATTGCCTGGAAGACTTCGCTGGGACGCTGGCACGGCCACCAGCTCCTATGTGAAGCAAAGCCATTTTATTTCAGGTCAATCTTCATACACATTCTCTGTTCTAAATTAAAAAAAAGAAAAAAAATAAAAAAAAAGAATCCACACACAAAACACCTAAAAGTGAAGGGCCTCAATTTTATGTTTCTCTTGCTGAAAAATGAATGTCAGGAGTTAAAGATAAAGACGCAAGGATCCTGTAGACCTTCCTATGAGACCTCACTGTTTGTTTTCACGGGAAAGGAACAGGTTTCCTTGACTACATGGCTCGTTCCTGGGGAGGGAGCTGCCTCCCTGGGTATCTCTCCATCAGGACCGCCCGTCCCCGCGTGTGCCTTACGGTCACGGCTGTGCCTTCTTGCTCAGGGACCTTGCTACAGGCGGCAGCAGGCTGGGTGTCCTCCCTGCACCCCATGGCATCTGCCCTCTGCTCCCAGCGCGAGCCCCCCGAGGCTGCATCGGGGCTCCCGTGGCCGTGGGGTGAGCTGGCAGGTGACCGGGATGCGGGGGGACCGGGTGTGGGACGCGACATCCGGGTCCCTGCAGGAAGGTGTCCGCTGGCTGGGTCAGCAGGTGCGCCACGAGCGCTCGCTGTCGGCTCCCAGCCCGCGTCAGGTGACGTCTGTTGCCCAGGGTGCTGCAGTCTGTCCTCAGGGGCCTCTGCTCTCCCGCTCTGGAAGCACGCCCGTCGTGACACTCCTTTTCCGTGAGCCGCTCGGTGTCCCGCGTCTTCCTGCGGCCCGACTGGCCTGCCCTGAATTCAGCCCTCGGCCCTCCCCATCCCCGTGGGCCGCGGGGCTCCCCGCGCCGCTTCTGCAGCCCCTGTCCCCACGTCCTGGGCCTCACCACGTGCCCTGTCCCTGAGGAAACTCGGCTGCCATCCCACGTGTCGGCCCCCTGACCATCCCCCCAAGATGCCACCGAGATGTTGGAACAACAGTAGAAAGAGAGGGTGGAAGGCAGAACAAGGGGGGAACCCTTCCAACTGCCCATAAGGTAGAAGCGCTTGGAGGAAAGATGTTCTTCTAATTTAAAAAAAAAAAAAAAAGGCCCTTGAAATCTTTTTTTTTAAGTTTTATTTATTTATTCATGATAGACACACACACACACACAGAGAGAGAGAGAGAGAGAGAGAGAGAGAGAGGCAGAGACACAGGCAGAGGGAGAAGCAGGTTCCATGCAGGGAGCCCGACGCAGGACTCGATCCCGGGACTCCAGGATCGTGCCCTGGGCCAAAGGCAGGCGCCAAACCGCTGAGCCACCCAGGGATCCCCTCTTGAAATCTTTATATTATTTTTGTAAAGATTTATTTGAGAGAGAGCGAGAGAGCGTGAGCAAGAGCATGAGCAGGGAGTCAGGGGCAGAGGGAGAGGGAGAGGCCCAACGCAGGGCTCGATCCCAGGACCCCGGAATCCTGACCTGAGCCAAAGGCAGACGCTGAACCGACTGAGCCCCTCCAGGTGCCCCTGAAATCTTTTTTGCAGATGTATATCCCGTGCTCATTGCAAAATCTACAAATAAGCCATCATAACGAGGCAGAAAGTAAATGTCCTGTGCTCCCGTTTCCCGGGGTAAGAACCCTTACTTAGCAGCAGGTCTCTTCCCGGAGACCTGTCGTGTGGACATACAAAATACGGCTCTGGGGCCTTTGTGCACACGCAGGGTCACACTGTGACCACCCTTCCTTAACCCGCTTTGTGCATTAGACAGCGCGTCGTGGAAAACTTCCTGTCGATTCCCATGGATTTACTTGATCCCTTCATCTCTGTAATATTCCATGGTCCAAATGTAGTCAAGTCTCCTGTGGATATTGTCATATTATTATGTAATATATGTAATCATATATAATAAAATATATAATATAAATATAAAATATAAATAATAAATGAAACAAAAATATATAAGAACATATATAATATGCTATTATTAATATTATTACATATTTTTTAAGATTTTTATTTATTTATTTATGAGAGACAGAGAGAGAGAGAGAGGCAGAGGGAGAAGCAGGCTCCATGCAGGGAGCCTGACGGACTCGATCCCGGGTCTCCAGGATCATGCCCTGGGCCGAAGGTGGCGCTAAGCCGCTGAGCCACCCAGGCGTCCCAATATTATTATATTATTATACGTATCATTACCTTTCTCATGTCGTGAGCACTTCGTGTATGTAAATCTTTAGAAACTGAGTCAGAATTTATAAAGGTACCTCCCTTGGATAGGAGTGGCTGAGTCAAAAACCGTTACAATTTTTTTTTTATGTTTATGGTCATGAATTCAGACATTAAAGACTTTACTTTGAAAAAAGACCACAGAGAATCCCAAACATACATATGCGTGTGTGTGTACCTATGTAAATAGATACACGAATATCCTGCACTTTTCCGGCCTCCACTCCCCCGGGTGCTACTCCTGCCTCCCCACGTCACCTCCCTGCGTGGCTGTCCCTGAAGTCTTAGTTCTGCAGACGAAATGTATTCCCGTCCTCAGGCATCTGGTTCTCCCGCCACGTTCCGTTGTCCCCAGCGGCGGCCCCTCTGCTCGCCCAGCTGATTCCCCCCATCAGCTGTCCCTAAGCCCGCTGTGCCACAGCCGGAATGCGGACCCGTCACGACGCGGCGCAGTAGATCTGCTGCTTGTTTCCAGGCCTGCATTCCAGTTCCTTCCAAAGTACAGTTCCCCGAGAGCTCAGGAAACCCCTAGAGCTACGTGTAGTAGAGGGTAACTGGAGGGATCCTCACCTGTAGGGTTTTCCCGATATTCAACGTTTAAAATACTCTCTCCGTGCGCGAGGCCAAGAGGAGTCGTTAACATTCAGCGAGTCTCGCCACCTCCTCCCCCGCGGGACTTAGGAAGGATCCGAGTACCCTGGGGGCCTTCCAGAACACCGGGGCATCCCCCAAGTACCGCTTACAGCAGGTGCTAAATCTTCTCCATGTTTTTGACACTTGGTTCTTTGCGTGTTCTCATTAAAGTTTTGTTGATCCCCCTTCGTCTAAGAGGAAACCCTTTTCCTCCGCGTCCCCCTCTCTCGCGTGAGTGACCTGCTCCCTTCACATCTTTCTCTGCTCCAGCATCAATGAAGAGCCCTCGGGTGGCTTCCTAGGTGCTGACTCGTGGAGAGCCTGGCGGGACGTGGTGAGGGAAAGGCAGGCTCCCTGCCCCGACCCAAGGCTCCGAGTCCCCCTGCCCGGCTTGAGCCCTTCCGCCCGGGAGCCGGGCCCGTTGCAGCAGGCGTGCTTCCTCTCGCTGGACTGAGGCTGCGTCTCACCTGCCCGAGCCCCGAGCTGAGTGACCGAGCGCCCCAGGAGACAAGTATCTTACGAAGCTCCTTCCATCCGTAGAGGGACGTTCTTCCTATGTTCAAGCCCCTGTGCTGAGCACTGTGCTGCACGTACGGTCCCCTTGAATTTCCAGGGCAGCCCTCTAGGCCACGCACGGCTGGCCCATCTTGCAGATAAAGGAAACCAAGCCTTGGAGTCGAGCAACTTGCCCAGTACCTGGAACCGGTGGGTCAGAAGAGGCGGGATTTGAACCCAGGTCCTAGAACTCCAGATCCCATGTGTTTACCCTCGGCCCTGGTCCTCTGTGAGATGGTGCTGAGACATCTCGCCCTTTAGTGATCAGGTCCGGAGAGGAGGGCGGTTGTTTGGTCCCTCGCTCCCAGGCAGCCAGCACAGATAAGCACGGACAGAGTGTGCACACAGGTGTCCCGGCCCACGTTTGCCATCAGAAGTGGGAGCAGCAGGGCGCGTGGGTAGCTCAGTCGGGTCAGCGTCTGGCTCTTGGTTTTGGCTCAGGTCATGGTCTCGCGGTTGTGGGATCGAGCCCCACGTTGGGCTCTGGGCTTGGCGCAGAGTCTCCGTGAGATTTTCTCTCCTCTCTCTCTCTCTCTCTCTTAAGTAAATAAAATCTTTAAAAAAGGAAAAAGCACAAATGGGGCCACGGAAAAACGCATCATTGAGTGAATGTGAGTGACTGGGTGCAAAATAGTGGTTATTCATGTTACTGGTCAGCTAATGGTTCACCAGTGGAGGCCAGACTCTCCGCTGGAGCCAGATGCTGTCCCCGCCCCCCCCCCCCCCCCCGTGGAAGACACACCCGTTCTCATTATCCACGACCCCAGTTCTTCCAGAAGTGGCCAACGGCTGCCGCCAGGTCCTTATTCCACAGCCTGGAGCAGTCCGTAAGCCACCGCTTCCCAAACCGCGCTGCCCGAGTGGGGGCCCCCGGGAGACAGAAGGGCTCAGCCGCAAGGGGTCTTTCTCTGACTCCCCACTGATTTCCCAGGTTCTGCCGACACCGTCGTGTCCCACAAAGTAGACGGAAGCTTCCCGGGTCCCGTCCTTGCTTCTTAGGCAGCCCCCAGCCAGAACCGGCCTTGAGTGGTGGGGCCGCGCCGTGTGCGGTGGCCGCGTGGGGTGGCCGCGGGTAGTCGCAGCCCACGGCCTTCCCGAAGGACGGTCTCCCACGTCAGCCGCGGCTCACAGGCCCGAGCGGCCTGGCTACTCTGTATCATATTTGCTCGCTGCTGACAAAGGCGGGAGCTCGGGGGAGCCTCGGGGTCCCCCCCCCCAGAGCCGGCTCACTGAAGTGCCCGGGTCACCATGGTGACTGGCCGGCGCCTTCCCCCAAGAAGACACGGGAACCGTGAGAGAAGCTCGCCCTTTCCTCTTGAGCGCGATCCCCCAGGTCTGGGGCTGAGCGGCCGAGGGGGGCCCTGCAGGCGCCTGCCCTGCCTCTGCCCCGATGCCCCCGATGCCCCCGGGGCCGCCGCCCAGGGCCCGTGCCTCCACCCGCGCCTCCATCCTCCAGCGGGCAGGAGGTCAAGCGCGGGTCGCTGGCTGCGGCGTCCAGCAGCATCCCCGGATGGCACTCCGCTCCGCACTGATGGCCGGGTGGTGTCGGGCCTGCCGTGAGGGTCGCGGGCCAACTCCCCGGGTGCCCCCCCTGCACCAGGGCACGCACCCCAGCTCCCCCCGGCCCGGCCTGTGTGGCGTGGGGCTGCGGATACCGGGCGGGGTAGGACGGTCCCGTCCAGTCACCAGGAAGGGGGACAGCAGGCGCTCAGCCTTGGCGCTGGTGCGGGTTAGGGACTTGCAGGGAGCCTGCCTCCACGCGTCACGCCGCCCTGTCTTCTCTGGATGACCCACGTTCTGAGAAGTGCTGGGTCTAAATTGTCCCCAGGTTGCTATTAGCAAGTGCCAATAGCAGGAGGTCTCCAGAAGCCACGGGGACAGTCACCAGATTGGGCGAGGAGAGTGGGACTGGGCCGGTGAGGGCGGAGTGGGCCCAGAGCCTCCTGGCTCAGCCCCCGCGCCCTTGGCAAGTCGACGTCTCTAACTGGGGCCTCCCGGCCCGGATCCGGGACGGAGACGGGACAGCTTGTGCCCCCTAATGGGGCCCGGCTGCTCGGCGGGGCCCTAAACCCCATGGCTGCCCGCCTCCCTGCGCTGGCTGAGCGCACCCCGGCGGGGGCAGCGGCGCCCCTTCCTGGGCCCCCGGGGTCAGGCTCAGCGTCTGCGGGATCCTGCTCCACCGAGGTCAGGTTATTTTAGTGGCGCCCGAGGGCGTTTTGCGAAGGTGGGTCTCAGTGGAAGGGAGAGGACGCTTGCCCAGGGAGGGACGTCGTCTTTATCTCTGTCCTACTAAGGAAACTATTCGGAAAAGAGAGTCGCCCTCTGCCCCTGAAGCTGCCCCCGTGCCCAGAGACACTCGGGCCACTTCCAGAATCGTCAGGGACACCCTGAACCTGCCTCTGATCTCCCTAGGGTCCACAAGCACCCCCAATGATCTCTGGTACAACTTCATCGAGCTCCCCTACCACGGCGAGAGCATCAGCATGCTGATCGCGCTGCCCACCGAGAGCTCCACCCCGCTGTCGGCCATCATCCCGCACATCAGCACCAAGACCATAGACAGCTGGATGAGCGCCATGGTGCCCAAGAGGGTGCAGGTCATCTTGCCCAAGTAAGTGCTCCCCGCCCCTGACGAGAAGACCACGGGAGTGCTCAGCCCCCGGTAGCGGACAACGTGAGGCTAAGGAATGGCACATCCTAGCTCCCAAAGCCTGATTGACTTTGCAGAAATTGTGCAGTGGGAATACAAGGCTCTGCTTTTGTAGAAGCTTCCTCCCCGCCCCCCATGCATCTCATGTGCAGCGTTAAGGATAATGGGAGAGGAGGGACGTAGGCAGCCTGACCTCTGAGTCTCCAAGACCTCAAGGTCCTTGTACCATTTTGAGGGATTTTCACATATCTGATTTTGTTCAAAAGACTGAAAAACACACATATAACGACACAGTACAGGTTAGGAGTGTTTCCAGTGGTTTGATAAGGAGATTCATGTCCGTCTTCTTAAGTTTTAGCTGAAAGTTCCTGAAGACCAAGGTCCAAAATCTCCATGGTAAGGAAATACTTGAAACCATCTAGGCAGAGTTCTTACACTAGCATCATACTATGGCAGTTCTTTATTACACCCTAAACGTGCAATATTGGTGGAATTTGAACTGTTATGACTCAAAACCAAGGGGCAGGGACACCTGGGTGGCTCAGTGGCTGAGCGTGTGCCTTCAGCCCAGGGCGTGACCCCGGGGTCCTGGGATCGAGTCCCATATCCGGCTCCCTGCATGGAGCCTGCTTCTCCCTCTGCCTGTGTCTCTGCCTCTCTGTCTCTGTGTTTCTTGTGAATAAATAAATAAGATCTTAAAAAAAAAAAAAGGACAAGCAATCCCAGATTCTGCTTGAATTCCTAAATTTCTGAATACTTTACCCAGATCTGTGAAATGAGCAGTGAACATCCCCTGTCTGTGATCATGCTACCCAATGCCCAGAGCTTTCAACCAGCCACATCTCGGGGGGGGGGGGGGGGGGGAGATACCTTCCAGTTCTAATAGCTTTCAATTCTCTAGTCGCTGAGTATAATCAGAGGAGTGCACACATAACAAGGATTAGTAATCCTCCCAAGATTTTCTTTCATTGTGGAAATGAGCCTTCCTGTAGGCAGCACATGATATAAATGAGTAAGGTGGTAGGCGTGCAGATAGGAGGACATGACAGGTAAAGCACAATTATAATGGTGAATGATCATTAGAACCCATCTGCGATGAAAATCTGCTCACCTACCCTTAATGCTCTTCCGCAAAATGGGAGAAAACCTGGTGAAACATCCTCTGACGATAAGTTCAACGGCTGGTATTTATGTCAGTACGGCCGTCAGGCCAGATCACAGGAATCCAAGAAACTCTCGTGACCCCCCAAATAGAATGCATTGTCACCGATGCCTGATGGTTTGTTCCTTGATAGTAAAATGCTTTAAAATCTTGATAGTAAAATGCTTTAAAAATCCCAACGAGAATGAGCAGGAATGTGTCTCCTCTCTTGACCATCCCTGATACCAACAAGGATCATTTTTACGGCAGCCACGATGACAGCCATTTGGTTGGGAATGGGGGAAATCTGTAGACATCCCACTCAGTATTCCAGGTATTGCCCCCTCAGCATAAAGGAAAGTGCTCCTGCAGATCTCCCTGAGAACTGGAACGGGGGGAGGGAGGGTGGTTGCACCTGAGGGTCAGGCTACCCTTGTTCAGGATTGCTGGGTTCCTGCTCATTTTGCCAGCTAAGTGTCTGAGAGACGTGTTGCTCTCTACTTAAATCTTGGAACTACAGCTTAAGATGCCATTTAGATTGGTATTCAGAGCACACTTAAAAAAGAAATCGGTTTGGGATCCCTGGGTGGCGCAGCGGTTTGGCGCCTGCCTTTGGCCCAGGGCGCGATCCTGGAGGCCCGGGATCGAATCCCACGTCGGGCTCCCGGTGCATGGAGCCTGCTTCTCTCTCTGCCTGGGTCTCTGCCTCTCTCTCTCTCTCTGTGTGTGACTATCATAAATAAATAAAAAATTAAAAAAAAATTGGTTTATCAACATTCCCCCACCCGCGCTGATTATATCATTTTACATCTTTTATGGTATAATGATTTCCCCCCTTATTTTCTCCTTTCCTGCCAGGTTCACAGCCGTAGCACAAACAGACCTGAAGGAGCCACTGAAAGCTCTCGGCATCACAGAGATGTTTGATCCGTCAAAAGCAAATTTTGCAAAAATAACAAGTAGGTTCAATTTAAAGCTCATTCTTTAACTTGAGGACTGTGTTACAAGCTGGGTCTCTGATTTTTTTCAGAAAGCAAAGGTCAGGGGCGCCTGGGTGGCTCAGTCCATTAAGCATCCAACTCTTGATTTTTGGCTCAGGTCATGAACTCAGGGTTGTGAGATCAAGCCCCGTGTTGGGCTCCAGGCCGGTGCAGAGTCTCAGGATTCTCTCTCCCTTTCCTCCTCCCCCTGCGCAAATTCTCTTTCTCTCTCTCTTTCTAAAATAAATAAATCAAAATAAATAAATGCATGAATAAATAAATAAATAAATAAATCTTTAAAATTTAATAAAAAGAAAGAAAAGATCCAAATTAGGAGTATGTTGCCCTAAAACTCTCCCAAGATTTAATCTGATTTATCACCAAATGATGCTGTTCATCGTCAGTCCTTTAAATCAGCAGAAATCATTCATCCCTACGTTTTACACACACATTTCCCATGAGGCCCAAGTGACTCTACAGACAGAGAAGACATTCGTGTATCGTCTTTATTACATAAAAATTTAGCTCTTACTTAAATGTCAGTCTTTCCAAATTTTTAAACTCTCGGATACTTGCTTCCATCAAACCGTAACAGGCAAGCAGTATGTCCGGATATGTGTTTCGGCGTTTAATGCCCATTATCCCAAAATAATATAAATTCATAGGGGTCTGATTGGAACCGTTCTTTGCCAAAGCATCTAAGACGAAGCTAGCATCGTATCGCTTCGTTTGCCAACATATGTACCTTTCCCTGGAGTGATGTTCAATCGTCAGTCCTTGGTCCTTCTCGGTTGGAGCACAGCAGCCTCCTTCCAGAGAAAAGTTATGGCTTAGACGTTATTTGTGTTCCTCCCCTCGAGAAGTTCATCACTAACCTGGGAGGCCTGCAGGTGAGCACTTGTGCACCCATCCCAGGGCCACACCTGACCTCCCTGGCGGACGTGCAGCTGAAGGGATATTCTGACGCTCTTTGGTCCTTGGATGACCAAACTCATCCCTATGCCAGCAGCGTGAGCATCCCCTGGGGGCTTGTTTGAAGGGGACAGTCTTGAGTGTCACCCAGACAGACCAAATCGGAATCACGTTAGCAGGACTCCTCAGCTCAGGGAAGTTGAAGAGCATCGTTTCAACCTGCGCTTTCCCCTCCTGGGTTCTCTTCTGTGGCCCGTGTTTCGCACAGTGGCTCTGGGGAGTTTGCAGGTGCTTGGGCGGCCGACCAGGTGCCTGAGATTCTCCTGGGGTCTGATGTTTAACCTGCCGGTGACCTACGCCCTGCAGACATCCCCCTCGTTCCCCATCGTCCGAGCTGGAGCCCCGCGCCGGTGCAGACAGTTGAAAACCAAGTGACAAGGAAGGCGCTTTTTCCCTCTCTCTCCAGATCTTCGTCCCATCAAGGCCAGCATTAACTTCCGTTTGCATTTTCCTCTAATGCTATAGCCAGTGAGAATTGCTGGGGTGAGAAGGCTGTGCTGAGGAGGAAAGGGAATTCACTAGAAGGTTTCTGAGGCACAATTGCCGTTCTGAGTCTGGTTCTGAACCTTCCTTACACTCCTCTCACTAATACGGCCACGTGCCGAGTAGCTTTTGTTGTGAGAAGCCAGCACTTCCTCTCCCACTAACCAACCACATGATCTGAGGGCAGATTTCTTAACACTCGGGCCCTCAGTTTACCCGTCCACACGTGCCATCTGAAATCCTCTCCGGACGTGACGTTCTGTGAGTGACAAATAATATTATTGTCTCTTGCTGCTTCTTGGGAAACAGGCTTCCCTTTTAAAGCTCTGCTCTTTTTATTTCTCTATGCAATTCTCAGGGGTCAGAGTTGAATTGCTAGAGGCCCAAACGCATTCAGGGCGGGTGTTGCCCTCCTCAGAAGTGGTATCACAGTTCGCTTAGCAGAGACTGAAATTCACGGCAGGTGACAGTCACCCTCCAGCCTTCAATCACCAGACTGAAGGAGGTCGCTTCTCCTGACACCTTTCAAGAACCGGAAATTGCCATGGATTGGAAGTTACCTTCCCCAGCCCAACAGATGGCCTGCCTATCACATAAATGCTGTGTCTGGTTTCTTTTCTGGAAACAGGGTCAGAAAACCTGCACGTGTCTCACATCTTGCAGAAAGCAAAAATCGAAGTCAGCGAAGACGGAACCAAAGCTTCAGCAGCAACAAGTAAGATCGGACTTGGGAGTCAGGGGCAGGGGCCAGGGGCTGGGGCAGGGGCCAGGGGGCTGGGGCAGGGGCCAGGGGCTGGGCCAGAGGCCAGGGGGCTGGGGCAGGGGCCAGGGGGCAGGGACAGGGGCTGGGGCAGGGGCCAGGAGACTGGGGCAGGGGCCAGGGGCTGGGGCAGGGGCCAGGGGGCTGGGGCAGGGGCCAGGGGTGGGGCTCTCCCATCCCTCAGTAAATGTAATGAACCACCCCACCCCCCACCCTGGGCATGTGGGCTCCCACCCAGGTGATGGTGGAGGTGAATGTAGACACATTCACATTCACATTCACATTCACCTCCTCCTGGAGGCTCTGACTGTTTCATTCAGTAGAGCCCTCAGTGCGTGCCTTTCCCTAGGACGTTCCCCCAGGACAAGAGTGGACACTGTTTTCCTATAAAGCACTAAGCCCATGGGCATGGCTGGGTCCCAGGAAAGCTTTATTTCTTTCTTGTTTTTTTAAAAAAGATGTTATTTATTTATTCATGAGAGACACAGAGAGAGAGGCAGAGACACAGGCAGAGGGAGAAGCAGGCTCCCTGCAGGGAGCCCAATGGGGGACTCAATCCCCAGACCCCAGGGTCAGGCCCTGGGCAGAAGGCAGATGCTCAACCCCTGAGCCCCCAGGGCCCCGAGAAGCTTTATTTCTAAAAGTGGGATCTGACCGTCAGACCAGCCCCGGGGACACTGGTGGCTGAGCCCTACTCTGGAAGCTTCGAGCCGGCTCTAGAGTCGAAGCGGGCAGCGGGTGTAGCCGCCAGGGGTGGACAGCACGGGCCCTGCAGCTCCCTGGGTGAGCAGAACACCCCGTCTGCTCTCTCCTCGGCTTTACATAAGGGAGGAGAAAACAGACCGGTGTAGGCTGCCACCCGCGCCCCTAATTGCCCACCTGAGGTCGGGGGAGGAGGTCCGGCGGCCCAGCCGGGGTTGTAAGCGGGTCACATATTTCTGGTCATTAAGGGGCACCGCTTCTGCTCCAAATAGACACTTTATTGCCTTTCTAGAATAAACATTTAATTTGTAACGCTTTAAAATAGCACTACACACAAAGACCTCCACTAAGAGTCCTTAGGATTTTTAAGACGCCTTTCGTCTTCTTTCTGGGTAATTCTAAGTCAGAGCGGAATTTCCAGTTACTGACCGATTTTGCCCATCGGGGTAACTACGGGGCCTGGAGCAGCTGGCGGGGCGCTCGGGGGACACTTAGCGAGAACGTGAAGACAGTGGCCCCGAGCCCCGTGGGCTTCTCCCGAGCATGACCACTGGGTCACTGGCAGGACTCTGCGGGGGGCGGGCGGGCCTGAGCCGCGGGAGTCCCCTCTGGGATGGAGGGCAGCCCCCACCCCGAGCCCCCCCCCCGCGGCCCCCGAGGTCGCCCTGCCCATGTGCTTGCCGCCGTGCGCCCGGCTGCCCCGTCTTGGGGACCCTCGGGCCTTCGAGCAGACTTAAGTACCTTGGGGCTTGGGGCGTCAGCGCAGGGCCCTCGGGGCGCAGTCCCGCCGAGGCCCACCGACCTGATGGGGTTTCAGCTCGGCCAGGGGAGCGTCCACCGCAGCACAGGTGCGGTGCTTGTCTGGCGTCGCACCCCCGCCCCGCAGGGCCCTGTCCCAGGCTCGGGAAGGGGGACCGCCTGGCCGAGCGGAGGAAGCGTGTTGGGCCCCGGGGCCCACGGGACTCTGCGTGGGGCCGTCTGCACACAGGCTGGAACAGCGGCCCGGGGCCCGAGACCCGGGAGAAGAGGCCTCCGGGCACAGAGGCACAGGGGAAGTGGTTGACAGGCGGGGCGCAGGACGGATGTGGTGAGGCCCGGGGGACCGGGGCCCCAGCACGGTGGGTGGTGTGTGTGCAGCACAGCTTCAGGGGCGCCCTGGGGCTTAGCAGCTGAGCAGGGCCCTCGGCCCAGGGCGTGACCCAGGGTCCGGATCGAGTCCCGCGTGGGGTCCTGCAGGGAGCCTGCCTCTACCTCGGCCTGTGTCTCCGCCTCTCCCTGGGTCTCTCATGGATAAATACATGAAATCTTAAAAAAAAAAAAAAAAAAAAAAAAAAGAACAGCAAATAATAACAGTGAGCGTGCAGCAAGTGTTCCAGTGACAAGCACTGTTCCAGGAGCATGTAATAGGCTTCCTGTCCTTTAACGGCCATAAAAACCCCCCGAGCAAGGACACTCATTAGAGAAGTCGGTAGCCGCGGGGACCGGGCCGGAGCAGCCCCACGCCGGCCAGCCACGGCCTCCACCAGGTGTACAACACGTTTTCTTTTTCCCCGTAGCCGCGATTCTCATCGCAAGGTCGTCACCTCCCTGGTTCATAGTGGACCGGCCTTTCCTGTTTTTCATCCGACACAATCCCACAGGTAAGGGTCCCTCCCTCCCGGTGTTCGCAGGCCCAGGCCGTGGAGCCCAGGCTGTGGACCCAAGCCAGCCCCAGCCCCGCTTCTCTTCCCTCAACTGTCGCCAACACTGAGGAATAGAAGCCCCGGCCGCCCCCCCCCGCCCCCGGCCCCTTGAGGAGAGAAGAAGAAGCCCGCAGCTCTGTTTCTGGAGTGTAATGGAATCTTCTAAACACTGATTTTAGGTTTATGGGTCCTGTTGGGCTTTGGCGTAGATAGTGAGCGCCGCAGCCCTGGTGGGGATTTTTGACAGCTACTGATTTTTTGTCCCCATTTTTGTAAATGCAGCAGTTAAATTTTATAAGAAGCTACATGTCCTCAACCTCCGTAAGCCCCACTATTGTCACGGCCCGAGGACTGTTAATGCGATGGGTCTTGGCTCTGTAAGTCATGGGTTTGAGGTTGGCTCTGCCCTTTTAGCTTCATCTCTAAAACACAAATAACAGTAGTTTCTACCTCGTGGCCCAATCCTGAGGAGTAAGGAAGGTTGTCCTTGTGGACGGAGGTTGGCTTCACGTTGGTCCAGAGTAGAAACTCACACATGTCAGCATCTACTCTTTTTTTAATCAGTAGCTCAACCTGGTTCGTCATCCTTTTGTCCTGTTGCATCTGTAACGTCACAGTTCGCAGGCCTCCTTCACGGCGGTGCAGTTCGGGAGCCTCAGGCCACATGTGGCTATTTGACTGTAACTCTTAATTAATGAAAAATGAAATATAGTTTGAAATTCAGTTTCTTAGACCATGTTTTTGGGGCTCAAGGGCCATGTGGGGCCAGTGGCTACTGTGTCAGACAATGGGAATACGGACCATTTCCATCACTGCAGAAGGCTGTCTTGGACCGCGGTGCTTGAGAACAGTAGGTTGGTTAATCGCAGCCTAGGGACTGTCCCTGAAACACGCCTTCTAGCTTATTCTAGGAATGTTTTTCATAGAGTTATGCCTTGCTTTAATCCTGCAGGTGCCGTCTTGTTCATGGGGCAGATCTACAAACCCTGAAGAGTGTGAGAGAGAAACCAGGCAGAGCAAAGGCTCCTTTGGGGCGAAAACAAGACTCTTTTCCTGCATCTTTCACAGTTCAGTTAAATATTTTTGTACATTACTTTCTTTTTTTCAGAACTAGTTCTTAGGAACAGAGACTGAGTGACGCAGGCATTTCGGTTCTGGGAGATTTATCAAAGGGAAAAAGGGGCGGACGGCTGGAGCACTGTACTGACAAATGAAAAGAAAGGCTTCAAAAAGTTCTAAAAAAAAAATCCTTTAAACTACTGAGCTAACCCTCTTGAGTATTTACTGTCCAGTTCAGGAATTTTGTTTTGTTTTGTTTACATGTGTGGCATTTCAGAAGAGATTTAATCAGTGTGATAGGAGGGGGGAAAATGAAAAAAAAAAAAACCACCTGCAGCAACACATTTTATGGTAGCTTTTACTTTTTTATGAAAAGAATATTATTGGCCGTTTTAATTCTTTCGTTTTGGTCCCATCCAAAGTCTTGATAGTAAGCATTATTTTGGGGGTAGAAATAGTGAAATCTCTAGCCTCTTTGTGTGTTTTTGTTGTTGTTGTTTTATATAATGCATGTATTCACTAAAATAAAGTTTAAAAACTAATGTCTTGCTAGACAAGGTTTGCTGTTGTGCAGTGTGCCTGTCACTACTGGTCTGTACTCTTTGGATTTGCATTTTTGTATTTTGTACAAAGTAAAAATAAAGTGTTATGAGTAGTAAAAAAAAAAATCCTTTCCCTGTGATTGAAAATACGACGGAAGAAACGAAGCCCTTTAGAAATTTAGAAATACTGAAACTTCGGGATGCCTGGGAGGCTCAGTGGTTGAGCATCTGCCTTTGGCCCAGGTCATGATCCGGGGTCCCGGGATCGAGTCCCACGTTGGGATCTCTGCATGGAGCCTGCTTCTCCCTCTGCCTGCGTCTCCGCCTCTCTCTCTCTCTCTCTCTCTCTCTCTCTGTCTCTCATGGATAAATAAAATCTTTTAAAAATAAATAAAGTATCAGAATTTAAAAACTTTTTTTAAAGACCTATGCGCGGGATCCCTGGGTGGCACAGCAGTTTAGTGCCTGTCTTTGGCCCAGGGCGTGATACTGGAGACCCGGGATCGAATCCCACGTCCGGCTGCTGGTGCATGGAGCCTGCTTCTCCCTCTGCCTATGTCTCTGCCTCTCTCTCTCTCATTCTGTGTGACTATCATAAATAAATAAAAAAATTAAAAAAAAACCTATTAGTCACATTTTTAAAAAAGAAAAAAAAAATAAAGACCTATGCGCTCTACTTATTCATTCATCACTCTTTATACATTAACATTAAAACTTTACACTCAGCACTCCAACAATTTGTCATTTGTGATTCTTATTTGTCAAGCGGGCTGTGCTTTGTTGTTTCCAACTATTCAAGGATGGGTACTTTGGTTAGCCAGGAGAGAAGGGAAAATGGTGTGAGGGGGCTGGGGGCGGTAATCGCTTTTCTTAATTAAGAGTAAGTGCCAAAAGTGTATTTTGAAGGGTTGACACAGACTACTTGTGCTCTAGCAAACATGCTGGTGTAGTCATTAAGGCCTTCTACAGCCAGCGTCGCTCATTTTCTGGTTTTCTGGTCCCATTCTATTTGGTCATTCTGAACAGTCTTAGAAATAGCGTTAGCAGTGATCCAAGAATTATACACTCTGTTTCTTCATCTGGGTACCTCCTGGGTACTGAGCACTAGGGGGTATGGAGATAAATGTGTCCTTTCCCCCAAATAAGGTAATCATGGAAGGGAAACAGTGAATCCCAGTTTGGCCAAATACCTACCTGGTTATAAGTGTACCTCTGAGGTGGGCGAGCAGGACCAAGAGGGAAGCCTAGAGTGGCTACAGCCCTGAGACTAGACCCCTGAGCTCTTGGCTCCAGCAGTTCTCATTCCAGAAAGGACCAGGACAGTTTGCTTTGCTTTCTTTTTTTTTTTTTCCAAGTAGGTTCCATGCCCAACATGGAGCCCAGTGCAGCGCTCCTCCCTCTGCTTTCACTTGATCTTCCCAGCTCATCTTTAGCCCAGAAGGGGTAAGGAGTAAGGGTAAGAAATACCGGTCAGCACCCAGATTCTGACCCGACCCTGTTGGCCTCCAGAACTTGTTTATAATCTCTGGACCAGGGGGAAGTTCTTTCCAAAGTATTGCCTTTATATAATTCAACTTTTATTTTTTGATACACTTCAGTCGATGAGTCTATAGACCTTGTCCTCCAAAAGATGAAATTTAGAAAAACTCCTTTACTTGAGGGAAACAAATTTAAGATATGGAGACCCCCACAAAAAAATTGCAGACCTGTCATAAAAGATCACATTTGCTGTGGTATTGTGATTTTTTTTTTAAGATTTTATTTGAGAAAGACAGAGAGAGCATGGGGGTGGGAGGACGCAGAGGGAAAGGGACAAGCAGACTCTCCACACGGGCTGGGGGGCTCCATCCCAAGACCTTGAGACTATGACCTGAGCTGAAGTCAGACGCTCAAATGACTGAGCTACCCAGGCACCCGGAAGTTGTGATTTATAATAAGAGATACGTATTTGGTTTTCCTCCCCATCTCTGGCACAGAGCTCCCCAAACCCTAGAGATCTAGGAAGGAGTGGACAGCTCTAGAGGTCTCTTCTGCTATGTTAATGATGAGACTTTTGGCCAAACTAGGCAGGCCTCGGAGGCTGGGGGAGACGGGGTGAGGCTGGGTTGAGGCTGGGTCGGGAGGAGCTCTTGAAGTTAGGAGGCATCTACCCAATTCCAAGCCCTACACAAACGTGCCTATTTCCCCAGAAGGCCGGCCTGCAGGATCTGGACCGCCAACCAGGGCTGGATCTGGGGGCTGCCGCCCGCATCTTCCAGTGAGAGACACCTGGGGCTCCTGATTGCTACGGAAGGGAGGCTGGTTGCTAGGAGACCCCAGTGTGTGATTTGGAAGCTGGAACTTTCAGGTCCACCCCGCTGACCTCTGGGCAGGGGAGAAGGCGGAGGTTAAATCAAGGCGGCCTGTGGCCAAATGATTTAATCAACTGCATCGTCGTTGTAATGACGCCTCCATAGGAACCCGAAGGACAGGTTCCGAGAGCTTCTGGGCGAGCGAGCACCCGGGGTGGGTGTGAGTGCTGCAGGAGGGGGGGCATGGAGCTCCTCGGCCTCTCCGGGACCTTGCCCTACGCCTCTCCTACACCTGGCTGGTCCCCGACTTACATGCTCTTATAAACCAGCCACGTAGCGGATAAGATGTTCCTCCGAGTTCTGTGAGTCCCTCTAGCAAGTTGATAGAACCCAAGGGCGGGTCGTGGGAACCTCTGGTTTACAGCCGGAGGATCAGAAGCACAGGTGACACCCCGGGTGCCCAGTGGCATGTGAAGTGGCAGAGGAGGAGCCTGTGGGCCTGAGCACTGACCCCACGAGAGGTGATCCCCCTCTTAGTAGATGGTGTTGGCGTCGACTGTAGGGTGTCCAGCTGGTGTCCAGCTGGTGTCCGAGTATTGGTGAGGGGGGCGGTGGCTCCACACACCGAAATTGGGTGTCAGAGTGTGTATGTGTGGTGTGCGTGGACATTCGAGCAATTTATCATATAGATCAGATGTCACATTGAGTTTGGGTGGGAAACAGGCTGCAATTTTCCTAAAGTGACAAAATGGTGGACCTATGGAACTGAGGCCAACGAGCAGCCAAGTCACTCCCCTGACACTTAATGAGGACTTTCCATTCTGCCTGAGACTCGATGGGAAAAAAGAGGAGGCACTGACCCAGATAACTCGAAAGCTCTATGTCTTGTTGGTCTGTGAGGCTTTGTCATAAAAGGGAGATGACAAGTACCTGGGAAAAAATGCCAATCACAAGACACAGGGAGTGACTTTTGTACCAGGAACCGGTTTTCTCAAAGTGAGAGCCTGAAGGCGCCCCGAGCTCCAGCTCCGCGAAGAGGTCTAGAGACCGAGCGGCCGAGCAGGGAGGGCCGGCTCTGGGCCAGTGGGGAGCAGGCCCCCTCCTAGGGCTGGTCCCGGGCCCGGAGAGGCACGGCCGGACTTGCCCAAGTGGCGACGACGTCGTGTCCACGGCCTCTCCTGACCCGACAGACCCCGCGTCCTACCTACCGTCCTCAGGCCCCCGAGAGTGGGCAGCAGCGCTGCCTCTGAACGCCCACTTCTCCCGAGCCGCCTGCTCCCTCGCCTCTCCCAGACCTTGGGGAAGAAAGGATGCAGGTGCGAGTCCCGGGGAACCGCGCTGAGCCCCATCGTCGGGCTCGCACCTGAAGCCCCTGAATACGCGCACTCGGTGGAAGCCCATTTTCCAGTCTCTGCGAGCCGGGCCTCCCTCGCCACGGGGGGGGGGGGTGTCACAGAGCCGCTGGGGGCCGGGTAGCCCGTGGATGATGAGCTGATTTTATTTTCCCGTGTTTGTCTTATTAACCGGATTGCCTACCGATGAATACCTCTGGCCTGACTGACCCGGTGCCCTGCTGCGTAGACGCCGAGCGATGACTTACACAGAGAACGCGTCTGCAGAAAGCCCGGCCACCGCTCTGGTTAGAAATATTCTTCTCTAGCATTCAGTGACCTCGTTACCGTCTCTTCTGCAAAACCCATTTGAACAAACTCACTAGTTCATTTGATGATTTTAATACAGGATGGACAAATAATGGAGCTATTCCTCGTTTGAAGGGGGAACACGTTAATGTTTTTAATTTTCTTAATTGCTTTTCTCCCAGAAACTTTTCTGGGGACTGTTAGTCTTCTGTTGCGAGTGGGCACCAACAGGCAGCCAGACGCCTGACCGAGGACGAGTGTTAGTGGAAAGCAGCCACTACCAACGCCGAACCTGTGTCCTTTTTCAGGAGCATGTGTGCTTGGGGTTACGATTTTGGACTGTGTCAATTTTCTCCTGGGGGAAGAAAAACTTGTTAGTTTGCAAGATGAGATTTAATCTAATAGTCATTCCTGGTATTCTAGAGAAAACCATGGCTTCCAAGGGCCCTGACAGCCAGCCAAAGTTGAAAGCCTCAGCTCTGGGTCCTAGGGGACGATGGTGGAGGGGATTTACAAAATGAGGTTTCGAGAGATGACATGGGTCAACTGAAGAGAGGAGAACACCAAGTGGGCTTAGGGATGCAGATGTTACCTGCATGCTGCCAGCTGGGCCTCCTCTGTGGGCACCCCCCAGCTGTGAGCTCGTTCCCCCAAGTGGGAAAAATGTCCACATCTTATGAAGGGTCAAGATGCCTAGTAAGATTCCCTTGACTCTGCAGGGCATCTGTTCCCGTCACAGAAAAGGGGAAGAAAAGAGCAGCAAGAAGAGGCCAATTAGGGACACCCGGGTAGCTCAGCAGTTGAGCATCTGCCTCCGGCTCAGGGCGTGATCTCAGGGTCCTGAGATCGAGTCCTGCATTGGGCTCCTCACGCAAGAGCCTGCTTCTCCTCTGCCCGTGTCTCTGTGTCTCTCAGGAATCAATAAATACAATCCTCAAAAAGAAAAAAGAATGTGAAAAGTTAGATATCACTTTAAATCATCATCAGACCTTTAACCTTACAAAAACAAAACAAAATTGAGTTTCAAACGGATGGCATGGGGACACCTAGGAGGCTCAGTGGTTTAGTGCCTGTGTTGTGTTGTGACTCCGGGGTCCTGGGATCAAGTCCCCCATCGGGCTGCCTCTGCCTGTGTCTCTGCCTCTCTGGTTTCCCATGAATAAGTAAACTTTTTTAAAAAGAGGGGAGCAATAGAAGTCTTTAAATGTTTTATCTATGGCAATGCTACAACTTTCCCCCTTTTCAGTAAATCTAAAGAGCTCAAGCATTCATACGTTGGCATCATAGGTGAACTGTTCACGGGTCAAACCCTTCACGTCCTAAGGGACAAGATGGGCTAGCTTCTGGGACCACGTTCATAGGCTACCAGAGCTCTCAGAGGCCTCGTAAAGTCGGTTTTCACCGCAATCTTTTGCCTTATACGTCTCCTCCCCATATAGGGAGAACCCCGTTCCCGCAAAGGCACTTGGCTCCCTACTTACCTAGGAAGTGGGATTACCACACCACCTGCTGGCCAAGATCTAGAACATGTGAACATACACAGAAACAGCCCTGATCTGCTCCTTTCTTACTTGGGAGCGTCTAGTAACAGTTCCCTTCCTCGTAACCATGTAAAACACTTTGAGAATACGATCCCTTGCTTTATATACGCATCTCATGAAAACGGTATGGACTGAAAGGAAAAGGCCCGTGTAATAGAGTCATGCATTTCCGGCTCAATTTTATACTTTGGGCCCAGGGAAGGGAGCGAGTGGGAAGTGGTGGGAAAGGATGTCAGAATTTCAAAGCAATGACTTTAAGGCCGTTCTGTGGTGCCAGGCCAAGCTCAAGTACTCGCGCTACTGGATTCTCCAACTTCCTTATGGTCATAACGACTGTCTTCTCTATGTCAGCCAGACATTGGTCAAAAAGACTGTCCTCCACAGGGTCACTGGATGCTCTTGGTCACATGCTACTTTGACAACATCCTCACACCCACGTTCCTCTTGCCCACGCACTGAACGTACACGGTATTTATTGGCTCTTATGTGGCAAATTAAAATTATCTAGAGGTTGGCTCCAACTTTCAAGCAATTTCATATGGAACTGCAAAAGTTTGTGTTTTATTTTCTACATTCCAGCCCATCATAGTTTAGTGAGTGTTCTTTTAAGATTTCATTTATTTATTCATGAGAGACAGACAGACAGAGAGAGAGAGGGGCAGAGACACAGGCAGAGGGAGAAGCAGGCTCCATGCAGGGAGCCCGACGCGGGATTTGATCCCAGGACTCGAGGATCAGGATCACCCCCTGAGCCAGAGGCAGACACTCAACCAGTGAGTCACCCAGGCCCCTAGTGGGTGCTTTTTAAAAGTACAACTTAAATTCAGAGACTTTCCTTAGAAATGTATTGAAATCACATTCTTCATAAGGGATCCAGATCTACTTGCAAAGTAGCTTTTATGAACTTCAGCTAGATTTGTCACACATGTAAGTCTAGAAGATTCATGGTTCAGAAGCTTGAAAACTGAAGGGCAAGGATGGTTCCCCTCCAACCTTGTAGGATAAGGTCCTGCAAAATGCCCTGAACAGGAGAAATTTGGGATCACGTTATCAGCACTACTTGTAGAGGAAAGGAAGGACTGAGTTTGCAACTGAATTTTCCAAAGATCTTTTGTTTTGTTTTAATTTTTTTATTGGAGTTCAATTTGCCAACATATAGCATAACACCCAGTGCTCATCCTGCCAAGTGCCCCCCTCAGTGCCCATCACCCAGTCACCCCAACCCCCTCACCTACCTCCCCTTCCACTACCTCTTGTTTGCCAGAGTTAGGAGTCTCTCATGTTCTGTCTCCCTCACTGATATTTTCACTCATTTTCTCTCCTTTCCCTTTATTCCCTTTCACTAATTTTTATATTCCTCAAATGAATGAGACCATATAATGTTTGTCCTTTTCCGATTGACTTATTTCACTCAGCATTATGCTTAATACCCTCCAGGTCCATCCACGTCAAAGCAAATGGTGGGTATTTGTCATTTCTAATGGCTGAGGAATATAGACCACATCTTCTTTATCCATTCATCTGTCGATGGACACCGAGGCTCCTTCCACAGCTTGGCTACTGTGGAATTGCTACTATAAACATCGGGGTGCAGGTGTCCCGGGTTTCATTGCATCTGTATCTTTGGGGTAAATCCCCAGCAGTGCAATTGCTGGGTCGTAGGGCAGGTCTATTTTTAACCCTTTGAGTAACCTCCACACAGTTTTCCAGAGTGGCTGCAGCAGTTCATATTCCCACCAACAGTGTAAGAGGGTTCCCCTTTCTCCACATCCTCTCCAACATTTGTTGTTTCCTGCCTTGTTAATTTTCCCCATTCTCACTGGTGTGAGGTGGGATCCCATTGTGGTTTTGATTTGTATTTCCCTGATGGCCAGTGATGCAGAGCATTTTCTCATGTGCTTGTTGGCCATGTCTATGTCTTCCTCTGTGAGATTTCTGTTCATGTCTTTTGCCCATTTCATGATTGGATTGTTTTCCAAAGACCTTTTGAAAAAAAAAAAAAGTTTACCTAAAATAAAATTAGAATACTTCTCTAGTTAAACCTGACATTTTACATGTACTGGATGAGTAAGTGGTTGGAGGACATTTACTATCTTGTGCTTTTCAGAAATTTCCCACGATCTCTCTTCTCTAGCATCCAGGAGAGGCTTACAAAGCATAAAGCATGTTCACTTGTGGATGACACACCCAGGGGTGGCGTTTTTTACTACTGGGTTTGGCCCTCTATCCCCATGTTCGAGTGTTAGGAGTTAACTTTCAAAACAAAGGTGAAATCATTTAACCCACCAATTCGGCCAATTAGGTAGTCCTCAAACCTCCCCCTCTAAATTCAGACTCTGCTTTACCTGTAGATAGCTCAAAGCCCCCTTACAAAGGACACAACATTCACTCCCCTGAGCAGCCTCACGGAAGGGGTTCCAAAGGCCCTTCATCTTCCTTTTAGAAGATTTTATGGCAAGCTTTTTGCCTCCTTGCAGCCAAGAAAGCAAGACAGGTCACCAGCAGCTCTATGGGAGCCAAGAGAACTCAGCCAGGGAGTCCCATTCTTGCCACACCTGCTCAAACGGGGATGGCCTGATCCAGAAACGCGGCCTCAGTGTGTGCCACCAGGATCTCCATCCTGGTGAAAGGATGGTAAAAGGATGCAGGCTTCAGTAAGTTGGATTAAGTGTACTTCCCTGAATGGGTCATCCAAGATGCCTACCTTAATGCCAGCTCTTTGAACATAAAAATATTTCAATTTTTAAAAAGGGAGGGGTGGCACCTGGGTGGCTCAGTGGTTGAGCGTCTGTCTTCAGCTCAGGTTGTGATCCCAGGATCCTGGGATAGAGCCTGCGTCAGGCTCCCCCCACCCCCCCACCCCCAGGGAGCCTGCTTCTCCCTCTGCCTGTGTCTCTGCTTTCCTGTGTCTCTCATGAATAAATAAATTAAAAGATTTTTATGGGGGATCCCTGGGTGGCTCAGCGGTTTAGCGCCTGCCTTTGGCCCAGGGTGTGATCCTGGAGTCCCGGGATCAAGTCCCGTGTCGGGCTCCCTGCATGGAGCCTGCTTCTCCCTCCTCCTGTGTCTTTGTCTCTCTCTCTCTCTATGGCTATCATGAATGAATGAATGAATGAATGAATGAATGAATGAATGAATAAATCTATCTTAAAAAAAAGATTTTTATGGCAAAAGTGTTTCAGTTTTAATATTTCTATTCTCAATTACCAAGTCCTATTTTTCTTGTTAACTCTTGGGAGTGACTACTGACAAACTGAAACTAAAGATTATTACTCTTGCCAAAAAATGAAAAAGCAAAGAAGGAATTTGCAGTTGGAGGATTACTGAACTCAACCAAGACATGCTCTTAAGATTTGTCCTCTAGAAACACAATGTGTCTTAGTAAAATACTTAGAATAGTGTGTGGTACACAGTAGCTATGATTATGATTATGGAATACTAAATTGATAAATACATACTTTATTTTTCCATTAACATTGATGAATGTAAACTTTTTCAGTTAGCTGCTTCTCCCTTGGTTTTTTTTTTAAAGTATAAAGTTTACCTTGTATCTGTTTTATAGAAACTGAGTAACAGTGAGATGAATTAGTACACAGACTTTTACACAGAATTAGTACACAGACCTTTAAACCTAGACAGAATTTAGGGATCATTTAAATACCTGTCTGTGATAAACTGTACTTTTACATTTCTAAAGGTGAAGAGTTATTATTTTAGCTAAAAATCATATTAGAGACAAAGTCCACCAACCTGAGTATGTCAAGTTAAACTACAATGAAATCTACAGTGAAAGAGGGACTTCTGGGCAGCCTGGGGGGCTCAGCGGTTTAGCGCCACCTTCAGCCCGGGGTGTGATCCTGGAGACCCAGGATCAAGTCCCACCTCGGGCCTCCTGCAGGGAGCCTGCTTCTCCCTCTGCCTGTGTCTCTGCCTCTCTCTCTCTGTGTCTCTCATGAATAAATAAAAATCTTTTTTTAAAAAAAGTGACTTTTTAATTGGGATTAAAGTTCACATAAAATATATATTTGAATTATGGTGATACCTCAAAGCTAGGAATAAAACTGTACAGGTTATATAAAATAATAAAATCAAGGACCTTAGAAAAAATTTACTGGAAAAACATCAAAAAGACTTTGACAAGACAAAAATGAAAAAAAAAATCAATGATGTGATAAATATTTGTTTAATTTTAGGAACTCATTACGAGAAATAAGACATTTCTTTACAATATGAAAAATGCCAAACTTTGAACATCTTTGACATTTATCTCATTCTCTGGCTCACGAATTTCGGGTTCCCACAATTTTGGCAGGTTAGCTGGCAGTGATAGTCTTTTCAGCTCTTAAATTCTCTTTGGGCTTGGAATAGTCCCAGGGCCGTCTATTTTCAGTGAATCCATAGAGTTTCCTAAGTGCCACTCGAGCTGCTTCCTCTTCTGCAACAAGGACCGTTTCCCCAGGTCCTTCTGCAATCAACTTTTTATCACTAGAAAAAAAAACAAGAGTAGTCTAAAATTACCCGTGATCATAAGACACAGTCCACAAATCAGTTATGGTTTTTAAAACTTATTTTGGCAATAACATCTACCAGAAGTAACACAAGAGCTTTGGATATAGTATCTTTTTAATATTAACCAGTTTTGTTGCAAATTCATTACATACAGTAGTTAGAAAAGAAGTATTGACATTTCCATAGAGATATAAACTCCCTAGGTCCAGTATTTTTCAAATCAAAAACTCAAGGCACATCTAAGTAACTATGGGTTTTTTCTATTGTGCTATTGGTGAAAATTTAAAGAATATACAAAAATCTTGCTATAAAAAACTTGAAACTATTATAAATATTCATGAAAAATATAGCTACAGTATTTTTAATTCATTTGAATCTGTGACATGAGAGAAAATTTTATGGAAAAAAATTGTGCCTTTCTGGTTTCTCATCTAAACTTTAAAACAAATGAGAAATCAGTTCTATATTTTAAATTAAGAGCTTTAGATCTGTAAAACTTGCTAAGATTTAAGACATTATTTTATACACTATAATCCACTCTAATTTAGTCCCAAAAGATACTGAGGTAGCACAGTGAACACTTAAAGAAAAATGAGCAAAACTACACAGGTAGAGAAAAACAACGTGGAAGGAATTTGCTAAGAAACATTTGCTATGGTAGTAATTTGAAATGAAACAAAGAGGGATTCCTGGGTGGCTCAGCGGTTTAGCACCTGCCTTCGGCCCAGAGCGTGGTCCTGGAGTCCCAGGATCGAGTCCCGCATCGAGCTCCCTGCATGGAGCCTGCATCTCCCTCTGCCTGTGTCTCTGCCTCTCTCTCCCTCTCTGTCTCTCTCATGAATAAATAAATAAAATCTTAAAAAAAAAAAAGATCATATAGATTAAACTTTACAACAATAATTATACACATACATATTTGTAATAGTATGGAATAGAGAAAATCATCTAAGTGAATTTAAAGAACAAAATGTTGATCATTTAAAAATTGATCATTTTAAAAAATACTTTTAGGTAAAATCAGGGAAAAACCTAAATAACCCTGCTATCTAAAGACAACCACTGATAGGAATAGGGCAAACTCTGTCGTTTAAAAATAAGAGATCATTCTTCAAAACTTCCATATGTCACTAAAAACCCTTTAAACACATCACCTGTCCTAGCTGTACTATATTCTATCATGGGCATTTATCATTTTCTTCTTACTAGATACCAAAATTATCTCTAATTTTTGTCTATTTTAAAAAACGCTATTAGTTCAACAACTGTTTATTGACTACCATGTCCTAATAACTGTTCTAGGTATGGAGTATAAAGGGTGACAACAAATGAACATCTTTGTTTACACATTGTGATGCATCCTGGAGAGACACACCTGAAGTGAGAATACCAATCAAAGGACACGAAAAATTCAAAGACTTGGCGTTCTGTCAAAATTACTGACATAAATACTGTACCACTCTTCTTCTACTAGGAGTATATGAACTGCTAATAAAGGATGGTTTAAGACTTACAAAGCTGGTAAGCAAAAGAGGAACTCATCATTTTGCTTTGCATTTCAATTAAAACTAAGGTTTAAACTTTTTACAACATTGTCCATTTTCTCCATTGTGATGTCTTCCATAAAATCCTACATCATATAAGGATCAGAAAACTACTTACCTAAATTTTAATCTAGGTCTCTTAATATTCAATCAGGCAAGCCAACTGTTTACTAACAAAACTAAAACATTCTCAACATGGGCTGATTTATGTATTTTGATGGACAACTAAGCCCTTCCTTTTCCAGTCCTAGGCTCAGTTGAAGCTATTACAGGTGTGGAGTGGGGTAAATCTCTAACACTTATGAATCAGAACTTTTATTTTTCTACAGAAATATTTAGATTAACATGAAATTCTTATTTTGTTGAAATGAATGGAATTCTACAATGCAGAGTTGGTCAACAGCTACTATTAGCAAACCACAGATTACTTACTTTCCCCTAAGACTGACCAACAGGAAAGGAAGTGGTAAATAGATAATCAGAGGACTGAGTTTAAATCTGTTAATACAATTAGAGCTAATATTAAGCAAATGTGAAAAGTCAGTTTTTAAGGCTTCCAATCAATGTTATGAAGTTAAGATTACAATTTTACTAACCAGTATAAGCCAACAAAAAACACAGGCAAAGCTGTGGTGCTTCCAGACTGCCTGGTAAGTCTAGATTCCGGAGCTGAAATATTCCTTTTCTTCAGTTCTTCTACCAGTAGCCCCATGGGATTTATTACCTTCCAAATCTCAAAGAGTTCTTTTCCAGTCATCTGAGTAATTAAGAAGTCCTGCATATAAAATACAATTTATACTTTAAAAGCAATATAAAGAAAAAAAGGACCATAAATGTACGCTTTTAACAGAATTGTAGGACTTAGTGGGAACTGAAAAAGACAAAATGTACTGTTCTTTTTTATGTCCATATAGCTTTCCATGGAAGTTTTATTACAAAAATCATAGTTGTCGCAGACAACACGACACTCTGACCAGAGTACTCAAAAGACTCTACCAAAAACCTGCTAGAACTGATACACGAATTCAGTAAAGTCTCAGGATACGAAATCCATGTCCAGAAATCTGCTGCTGCACTGTTATGCACCCATAATGAAGGAGCAGTAAGAGAAATCAAGGAATAGATCCCATTTACAACTGCACCAAAACCCTAAGATATCTAGAAATAAACTTAGCCACAGAGGTAATAAAGATCTGTACTCTGAAAAATATGCAACACTTACAATGACAAAAAGAGATGGGAAAACAATCTATGTTCATGGTATGGAAGAACAAGTATTGTTAAAATGTCCATACTACCCAAAGCAATCTACACACTCAGTGCAATCCCCATCAAAATACCAGCAGCATTTTTCAGAGTTAGAACAAACAATCTTAGCCAAAGCAGTTTTGAAAAAGCAAAGCAAAGCTGGAGACGTCACAATTCTGGGCTTCAAGTTATGTCACGAAGCTGCAGTGATCAAGACCGTATGGGACTGGGGACCTGGCTGGCAGGGTCAGTTAGGCATCCAACTCTTCATTTCAGCTCAGGTCATGACCTCAGGGTGTTAAGATCAACCCCAGTGTCAGGCTCTGTGGTGGGGATGGAGCCTGCTTCCTCTTCCTCTTCCTCTCCTTCTGCCCCTCCCCACACCTCAAAATGAAATAAAGATAAAATAATTTAAAAAATAATAATAAATGGGCCCTCAACTCTATGGTCAACTAATACTTGACAAAGCAAGAAAGAATATCCAATGGAAGAAAAGACCATTTCTTCAACAAATGGTGTTGGGAAAATTGGACAGCAACATATGAAAGAATGAAACTCTACCCTTTCTTACACGATACGCAAAAATAAATTCAAAATCGATGAAAGACTTAAACGTGAGATTGGAAACCATCAAAACCTTAGAGGAGAACACAGGCAGCCACCTCTGTGACCTTGGCCACAGCTGGTAATAAAAAATATTTATCACCTGAAACTAACACAACGATATACGTTAATTACACTGGAAACAAAAAAATCTTAATTTACAAGTTCTCAGTAGGGGATTTTGAATCTTTTAATGCACAGATATAGAGTTACCTTACGAGAGACATGCGGTTACTTATATCTATGTATAAATCACTGGCTTATTTGCAATACAGAATAACCAACTGTAAGGTGAAGAAAAAACAATCTGAATGCCTAAGATGTTAGTAGGAACACAAAAAGAAATCTAGGGCAGACCCAGTGGCCCAGCAGTTTAGCGCCCGCCTTCAGCCCGGGGTGTGATACTGGGGACCGGGGATCGAGTCCCGCATCGGGCTCCCCGCATGGAGCCTGCTTCTCCCTCTGCCTGTGTCTCTGCCTCCCTCTCTCCCGCTCTGTCTCTCATGAATAAATAAATCTTTAAAAAAAAAAAAAAGTCTGGATTTTTCTGGCCATCACCTATGCCTCCTATTTGTTCCCTACAGGTTTCTGGTCTTACTAGTACATTATTAGAACTTTCAGTAGGATTGTAGGTTGAATATTCTAATCCTATTTCCCTAGAAAAGGAGATAGCGTAAAGAAATGATGTTTCTAAAACACACATGAAGGACACCTGGGTGGCCAGGAGTTGAGCGCCTGCCTTCGGCTCAGGTCGTGATCCTGGAGACCTGGGATTAAGTCTCACATTGGGCTCCCCACAGGGAGCCTGCATCTCCCTCTGCCGGTGTCTCTGTCTCTCTCACGAATAAATACATAAAATCTTTAAAAAATAAAAATTAAAAATAAATAAAAAATAAAATGCAAGTGAGGTGATGCAGTTGGTTAGGCCTGACACTTGCTTTCGGCTCAGTCGTAATCTCATGGTGGTGAGATCGAGCTCCACAACCAGGCTTCAGGCTCAGTACAGAATCTGTTTAGGGCTCCCTCCTTCTTCCTCTGCCCACCCCCCAGCATGCATGTGTGCACGCTCTAATAAATCTTTAAAAAAAAAAAAAGACAAACACCTTTAGGTCTTTCTCAGAATTTGGTAGGAAGAAAAGCCCACATATCACCTTCTAAGATCACATTAACAAAGAAATAGCAAAACTTTTCCTTCTGCTCATCTAATGCACTGTAAGCATTACCTACCCTGATGAAAAGAGCAGTCCTCTGAGGGCCACTGCTCTGCAGCAGGGCTCCAATTACTGCAAAGAAAGTCTGCTGTAAAACAGGTGGGGGAACTGGAAATTCTGCACTCAGGGTCAACTGCTCCACAGCCAAGTTTCTGGCCACATGACACACTACTTCCTCACCGGTGAGAAAGTCAACAAGACTTTTAATGCCTTCAGGGGGTAAGTCTGGGTATGCATCCTCAAGAAACTGTGTGAGGCAAGTTTTCGAAAAAGATGTCCCTTGTTCAGAGAGTTCTTGATTATCTTTAAGATTCAGAAGGACAGCTTCTTTTTCTATCCCAAGGTTTTGGCGCTTGGCCTCCTCGCTTTTAATATAGCAGCTATTAACAAATGCAGTTTTGAGAAGATCTAAGGAAAAGGTTTCCTGTAACCGATGTCCAAATGCTTGTATTTCAGCATGGTAATCCCAGTTGGGCTTCTCTGAACTGAAAAGTAAAACAGAAGACAGTAAGAGATGGTAAAGAAAACAAGATGTTACAATGACGCAAAACCTTTGTGTTGCAATTTTATTGATTAAGGAAATTAAAACGACTGAGTTTCATTTTTAATACCACACTTTGATTTTCTGAAAGTTAAAATTCAAGTCAGATGATTCCTTGTGGTTCTTTGCTACATTACATGGATTCATTTTCCCCTTGGGCCAACTGCCACATTAAAGAAGTTCTTCAACGTCAGAAACTAAGCCGTTAGTTACCCTACCTTTCAGATTCTTTATTTCTGCTATTACCATGGAATTATGCTTTATACCTAGGCATGAAATAGGAGTTATAATTTCACAGGTTCACACTATTAACCAAAGTATTCTATACTTATCTCTTAAGTACTAAAAAATATTTAAAAGATTTTATTTATTCACAAGAGACCCAGAGAGAGGGGCAGAGACACAGGCAGACAAGAAGCAGGCTCCCTGCAGAGCCCCAGGCAGGACTCAATCCCAGGACCCCAGGATCATGACCTGAGCTGAAAGCAGATGCTTAGCCACCCAGGTGCCCCTAAAAACACTCATTTAAATCAGTGTCTATGAAGAGAAATCTCACAGAGGAAGACATAGACATGGCCAACATGCACATGAGAAAATGCTCTGCATCACTTGCCATCAGGGAAATACAAATCAAAACCACAATGAGATACCACCTCACACCAGTGAGAATGGGGAAAATTAACAAGGCAGGAAACCACAAATGTTGGAGAGGATGTGGAGAAAGGGGAACCCTCCTGCACTGTTGGTGGGAATGTGAGCTGGTGCAGCCACTCTGGAAAACTGTGTGGAGGTTCCTCAAAGAGTTAAAAATAGACCTGCCCTAGGACCCAGCAATTGCACTGTTAGGGATTTACCCCAAAGATTCAGATGCAATGAAACACCGGGACACCTGCACCCCGATGTTTCTAGCAGCCATGTCCACAATAGCCAAACTGTGGAAGGAGCCTCGGTGCCCATCGAAAGATGAATGGATAAGGAAGATGTGGTTTATGTATACAATGGAATATTACTCAGCCATTAGAAACGACAAATACCCACCATTTGCTTCAACGTGGATGGAACTGGAGGGTATTATGCTGAGTGAAGTAAGTCAATCGGAGAAGGACAAACAGTGTATGTTCTCATTCATTTGGGGAATATGAATAATAGTGAAGGGGAATATAAGGGAAGGGAGAAGAAATGTGTGGGAAATATCAGAAAGGGAGACAGAACATAAAGACTCCTAACTCTGGGAAACGAACTAGGGGTGGTGGAAGGGGAGGAGGGCGGGGGGTGGGGGTGAATGGGTGACGGGCACGGAGGGGGGCACTTGACGGGATGAGCACTGGGTGTTATTCTGTATGTTGGTAAATTGAACACCAATAAAAATTAATTAAAATAAATAAATAAATAAATCAGTGTCTAGAGATCCCCAGGTGGCGCAGCGGTTTGGCGCCTGCCTTTGGCCCAGGGCGCGATCCTGGAGACCCGGTTGAATCCCACGTCGGGCTCCCGGTGCATGGGGCCTGCTTCTCCCTCTGCCTGTGTCTCTGCCTCTCTCTCTCTCTCTCTCTCTCTCTGTGACTATCATAAATAAATAAAAAAAAAGAAATTAATAAAAAAAAAATCAGTGTCTAGGGCAGCCCCGGTGGCACAGCGGTTTAGCACCACCTGCAGCCCAGGGTGTGATCCTGGAGTCCCTGGATCGAGTCCTGCATCAGGCTCCCTGCGTGGAGCCTGCTTCTCCCTCTGCCCGTGTCTCTGCCTCTCTCTCTCTCTGTCTCTATGAATGAATAAATAAAATCTTAAATAAATAAATAAACAAACCAGTGTCTAAATAATCTAGAAGCATTGCAAGCACGCTAAAAGTTCATAATCATTCCCCAATAATGCCTAAAAGTCAAAAAAAAAAAAAAAACACCAATAAAATCCAAATAAAACGTTTAGGTAAAAACGGATAGTAAAACACGAAGATCTTGGTTGTGAGTCATAAAAGGCATGTGACCTGTATAAATCCTTAGTTTTCTTTTTTTTTTTGCAACTATAAAGGCCTTAAAATGACTCACCCCACAATAAACCAAGAAGTGTGAATACAGACGTACTGTTTTGTGCCTATTAGGAAAATGACTTCTTGTCGCTTTGACCGAGTATAGGAACACGAACAGGTGTACACGTTCCTTACTGATAAATGCACTCGCTGGTCCAACTTTCCGGGGGGGGGGGGGGGGCGGGGCGGAATGTCAAAGTAGCCATCAAATCTCAGACTGCGTTTCCCAAGGAGCGCTCACTTCGAAGCTGGTCCCTGTTCACCGGCTGCAACAGCAGGAGCAAGGACGCCGGCGCGGGACCCGAGGCAGAGGAGCAAGACCCCGAGGTCGGAGGTCGGAGGTCGGAGGTCGGAGATCGCCGGGAGCCGGCAGGGCGCCTTCCTCTCGGCGCCCGGGGGCTCCTGGGTAAGCGCCCGCCTGCGGCCCGGGGCGTGACCCGGTCCCGGGAGCGGGGAGCCCGCCGCTCCCTCTCTTGAGGACAGAAATAAACTCTTAAAAAAAAAAAAAAGTTTTTCTCTGCCGGAGCCCTGGAACAGGATTAAGAAGAAACACGCTTAATTACGCCCCCTCCCCCCGCCCCCCCCCCCCCCCGCGGCTCCTACCGGCGCGCGGGCGGCGGCGGGCTCCGGAGCAGGCGCCACCGCTCTAACTCCTTCTGGAAGCGGAAGGCGGCGCGGAAGCCCTTCTTCACGCCCCGAACCGGCGGGACGAGCGTGGGGGCGGCCGGGGCCAGGAGGCAGCGAGGCCCCAGTACCAGCAGCCTCCCCAGGCCGGAGGCCATCGCAGGGCTCCGTTAAAAATAAAAGGAAACTTTAAAAGAGGGCAATAGAGGGCGGAAGGAAGGCAGCCGGAGCGGTGTCGCGGGAACACACGTCCCCCTCCCTCCCGGAACTGGGCGGGGCCAGCGCGAAGGGCGGGGCGGGGCCAGCGCGAAGGGCGGGGCGGGGCCTGCGCGAGGGGCGGGGCTGGGCCAGCGCGAGGGGCGGGACGGGGCCAGCGCGAAGGGCGGGGCGGGGCCAGCGCGAAGGGGCGGGGGCGGCCGTTGGGCCTGACTGCGCAGGTGCGAGCTCTGGGCCCCGCCCACCGAGGCTCCGCCCCGGGGTGAGCCCGGCAGGGGAGCTCGGCGCGCAGTGCGCGCGGGGTGTTGCTTGGATCTTTCCTTCCTCATTAGCACAGAAACCTGTTTCACTCTCGATTTAAAGGAAACAAAGTCTCAAAATAAAAAAATTAAAAAAAAAAAGAGGGATCCCTGGGTGGCGCAGCGGTTTGGCGCCTGCCTTTGGCCCAGGGCGCGATCCTGGAGACCCGGGTTCGAGTCTCCCATCGGGCTCCCTGCATGGAGCCTGCTTCTCCCTCTCCCTGTGTCTCTGCCTCTCTCTCTCTCTCTCTCTCTCTCTCTCTCTCTCTGTGTGTGTGACTATCATAAGTAAATAAATAAATAAATCTTAAAAAAAAAAAAAGAAAACACTGTTTGTCAACATATAGTTTCAAGTGCCGCAGACGCTGCAGGAGCAGGTCCCCAGCGGGTCTTCAGGAGCCGCAGACCGAGGGGTGCTGATTTGACCAAGGTGTAAACTCCTGACAGCACAAACTTTTTAAAGCACGCAAAAGAAAGGACTGGGAAAAAATACACCAAAATGAGAGCAGTGGAATAAGCCTTCCCCCCCCCCCTTTATCTTGCACTCTTGATGGAGACTTTCCTACCAAACTGCTAATGTAAATGTTCCCATCTAATACTCACAAAGGAAGGCCAGTCCTGAGTGGCACGACCACCTGGGCTCCAGGCGGCCCTTGGCTGCGGCCCCTGTGCTTGGAAGCATCGCTGCCCCCACTCACCCAGGGTGGGCTCCGGGCTACAATCTCTAATGTTAGGGGCACTTGGGTGGCTCAGGGCATGATCCCAGGGTCCTAGGATGGAGCCCAGTATCCGGCTCCCTGCTCAGCAGGAAGTCTCCTTCTCCTGCTGCTGCCCCTGCTTGCACTCTCTTGCTCTCGCTGTCAAACGAATAAAATCTTAAAAAAGAAAAGAAAAGAAAATCGCTAATGTTAGGCTCTAGCAAAGATTCTCCCCTTGATCAAACTTGAGTCAGGCTCCCAATTCAGTCCAGAAAGGATTCCCCTACCCTCAGTATCTGATTACCCTTAATATCCAATCAAATTCATCACCAACCACCATCCCCAGGTGTTAGGTGATCATTCCTGCCTGCCTTCTGAAAAATCCTGTCGAGTTGGTTTAGCTAGAATCCTGCCCCCCACCTTACCTTTGATGTTTCTACTTAGTTCAAGGTTCATTGACAACTCCCAGCCCCCATGGCTATAAATTTCCCCTGGTCCATGCTGTATTTGGAATTGAGCTCAGTTGTATACAGAGGTCTCTTCACCCTTATTGCAATAGTTCCTGAATAAAATGTTTTTTTTTATTATTTTTAAAAGATTTTGTGTATTTATTTTTGAGAGAGAGAGAGAGAGAGAGCAGCATGGCGGGATGGGGGGGTGTAGTGGGGGTGCAGAGGGAGAAGTAGACTCCCTACTCTCCACTGAGCAGGGAGCCTGAAGCAAGACTCCATCCCCTGACTCTGGGATCATGACCTGAGCCCAAGGCAGACACTTAATGCTTAATGGACTGAGCCACCCAGGTGCCCTGAAATCTGTTTTTAACTATTGTGTAGCTCTTGTTTTTCTTTGATAGATGATACAACTCAATTTAAGGCTCATAGCTTAACCTTTCAAAAGGGAAAATCTGAGTGGTTCACCTTAGCCTATAAAAGGCTTCTCCCTTTGGGGAGGAAGAGAGGAAATAGGGGGTTGGCACATATCATAAAACAAGCTGATGGATTTCTGGGTGAAGCAAATTCTCTAAGAAGGGACAAGAGAAGATCATGATTAGTATTTGTGTTTCAATGATCTATACTACATGTAAAAAAAAAAAGAATATCCGTTGAACATTAATCAAATAAATAGAAGAAAGCACAGGGAACTGTTATTTCTGTAATAGTCCATTTATTGGGGGAAATAACCTAATAATGTAGTTGAAGCAAATAATGTTATGCTAAAATGAGGTGTCTCTGTATTGAGAGTTTCTCAGTAAATACAACAATGAGAACATTGTCTACGAAACCAAAAATGTAGGGTCTCGGGGAGTTTTTACCACTAACTAACTAACTCACAAAGCTGAGGAATTAACCAGTTTTTAAAATTCGTTCATGAATTTGTTTATTTATTCAGTAAACCAGGTGCTAAGGGGATTTCTCAGTTCTATGACCCAGGCCCAGAAAACAGGGTCTGCGTCATCTACATCCCCTTGTTTATGTTCCTTCCAATCCCGAGCTTCTGTGCTCAGTATCGGCCTCTCTGCTCTTCAGTTGTGCATACAAAACTCCCGCACCTCATTGTGTGCTAATACCTCCACCTGGACATCTGCCGCACGTCAAGCTTCATACCTCCAAAACTGAACTCCCTGTCTTCTTGCCCAAACATCTCCCCCGGTTTGGTAAAAGGGCCACTCCATTCCTCCAGTTGGTCATCCCACAGATCCCGACTCCTCTGTTCTTTTATACCCCATATCCAATAAAGCTCATTGGCTCCACCATCCAGAAATGTCTCTAGATTCTGCTGCCCTCACACCACCTGCACTCTGTGCTAAGCCATCATCACCTCTCAACTGCTTTATCTTATTCGTCTTCCAACTGACTCAGACCCCTGACTTTTAAGACTGAAGGCAGATTAAAGCAGTTTCCTGTACTCAAAGTCCTCCACTGGCTTCCTGTGTCACTTAAAGTAAAAGCCAAAGTCATTACCGTGGCCTCAGGACTCAACGTGTCCTGTCTGGTGACCCTTCTTCCTCATCTCTCTGTACTCTTCACTCACTCTGCTCCAGCTACACCGGCTGCCCTGCCTTCCCTAGACAGCCCCGGGCAGGTTCCCACCTCAGGGCTTTAGCACTTGCTGTTTCCTTTTCCGGGAGAGGACGTCTTTCATATTTCTACAGGGTTTATTCCCTACTCTCCCTGATGGCTCAAATGCCAGCTTCCCCATGAGGCCTTCCCTCAGGCTGCATCCTCTGGAAGCAGATGCTGAGGCAGAGATTGGCGTGCTGAATATTTATGAGGGATTCACAGCTGTGAAGAGAGGCAGATGTAACAGGATTAGGCAGGAGAAGGCAGCTGCAATACAGGCCCGACAAGGCGTCATCCAACCTGGGAGAGAGCTCTATCAGCGGGTCCTGCACTATAGGGACGTGGCCAGGCTTCTATATTCTGCTCTCATGTAGTTACGGAATTTGGGTGCCCCATGCAGGGCGTGGCTGAGCCATGGTGGCTCTCAGCCTTGAAGGGGTCTGCAAGCTCTAGAGTGTGTGCTGACCACCTCCCTTCTTTTTTTTTTTTTTTTAAAGATTTTATTTATTTATTCATGAGATATACAAAGAGAGGGAGAGAGAGGCAGAGACACAGGCAGAGAGAAAAGCAGGCTCCATGCACGGAGCCCGACGTGGGACTTGATCCCGGGACTCCAGAATCATGTCCCGAGCTGAAGGCAGGCGCCAAACCGCGGAGCCACCTGGGGGTCCCAAGACCACCTCCCTTCTATGAAGGCGAAATTGTACCGTGTGTCTTGGAATCTTCCATGTCGCCCCATTTAAAATTGCAATACCCTCTATCATCTCTATCACCCTCCACAGTTTTATTTTTTTCGCTGCACTTAACACCTTCTAATATACGATGTAATTTAGTTATTTTTTTTATTACGTGGTTCTTTCATTGGAATATACATTCTAATGGCAGCGCAATTTTTGTGTCTTTGGAGCACAGCTGCATTTAGAATGGTGCCCGGCTCATAGCAGGCACTCAATGAATTTTGTTATTTGAAATATTTGTTATGTGAAAGCAGTCGTTCAGTAGCCTGTCTCGTCATCACATGTAAAAGCCTTGCAAGAACCATGTCTTATTCGTCTTGTCAGCATATGGTGCTTAGTAGGTGTGCAACACGTTTGTTTAATAAGCGAATACATCTATGAATGACAGTTACATGAAACACATATGTAATCTAAAATTCATTAGCTATATTAGACAATAATGAGAAACAGGTAACATTAATTCTTAAAATATCTAACACAATATATCTAAGTTCTATCATTTCAACATGTAATCGATATGAAAATTACTATGGAAATATCTTATTTTTCAAAAAAATTTTGTTCTGCACTAAGTCTTTAAAATTCAGTGTGTATTTTGCACTTATACCGTAACTCAGTTTTGGATTGGCCACATTTTAAGTTCTGGATAGCGGGATCCCTGGGTGGCGCAGCGGTTTGGCGCCTGCCTTTGGCCCAGGGCGCGATCCTGGAGACCCGGGATCGAATCCCACGTCGGGCTCCCGGTGCATGGAGCCTGCTTCTCCCTCTGCCTGTGTCTCTGCCTCTCTCTCTCTCTCTCTCTCTCTCTCTGTGTGTGACTATCATTAAAAAAAAAAAAAAAAAAAAAAAGTTCTGGATAGCCCCCTCCGCAGCATAGCTGTACTGGAATCCTGCAATTCGCAAGGCAGAATAATACAGCATGTGGAAGGGGAGTGTGGGTTGGAGAGGGGAGGTCTCCGACGTCTGCGATTTTCTGGGTCCTCATCATGACCCTTTAACTTAGTAGCTTCGGATGCGCTCCGGCCCCAAGGGCACCAGCGACAGTCACAGATGAGCATGTTGGGTCGGTTGCTCATCAGCAGGAGGAGGCCTATCACGGGATCCACGGGGCGTTGGTGATCGAAAAGGGCTTGTTGCGGGGTTTGGGTTTGTATTAGACGGTCTCAGGGAGAGCTGAAGGAGGGTCTCTCCTCTGCACGGCCCTGGAAGCTGTCAGGA